CACTGGGCCTCGGAAGCCCCTCTTGCCCAAACTATTGTTCTGTGGCCAGTTAATGTCCTTCATAGGAGCTTAGGGGTGCAGGAAAGGGGTCACTCCTTGTAGTGGTCACCTTGCTCCCCCTCCCGTGTTCCCAGGTGAGTAGAGGCACATAGCATGCTATGGGCCTCTTGGGTTGGGCTCTGCACACATGCATGTGCACACACATGGACCTGTGTGCACCTGCCAGGTCACCTTGCCCCCGCCCCCCGTGTTCCCAGGTGAGTAGAGGCACACAGCATGCTATGGTCCTCTTGGGTTGGGCTCTGCACACATGCATGTGTGCACACATGGGCCTATGTGCACCTGCCAGGTCACCATGCCCTCCCCCCTCCCGTGTTCCCAGGTGAGTAGAGTCACACAGCATGCTATGGTCCTCTTGGGTTGGGCTCTGCACACATGCATGTGTGCACACATGGGCCTATGTGCACCTGCCAGGTCACCTTGCCCTCCCCCCTCCCGTGTTCCCAGGTGAGTAGAGTCACACAGCATGCTATGGTCCTCTTGGGTTGGGCTCTGCACACATGCATGTGTGCACACATGGGCCTATGTGCACCTGCCAGGTCACCATGCCCTCCCCCCTCCCGTGTTCCCAGGTGAGTAGAGTCACACAGCATGCTATGGTCCTCTTGGGTTGGGCTCTGCACACATGCATGTGTGCACACATGGGCCTATGTGCACCTGCCAGGTCACCATGCCCTCCCCCCTCCCGTGTTCCCAGGTGAGTAGAGTCACACAGCATGCTATGGTCCTCTTGGGTTGGGCTCTGCACACATGCATGTGTGCACACATGGGCCTATGTGCACCTGCCAGGTCACCATGCCCTCCCCCCTCCCGTGTTCCCAGGTGAGTAGAGTCACACAGCATGCTATGGTCCTCTTGGGTTGGGCTCTGCACACATGCATGTGCGCACACATGGGCCTATGTGCACCTGCCAGGTCACCATGCCCTCCCCCCTCCCGTGTTCCCAGGTGAGTAGAGGCACACAGCATGCTATGGTCCTCTTGGGTTGGGCTCTGCACACATGCATGTGTGCACACATGGGCCTATGTGCACCTGCCAGGTCACCATGCCCTCCCCCCTCCCGTGCTCCCAGTTGGACTCTGCACACATGCATGTGCGCACACATGGACCTGTATGCACCTACCAGGAGGCTCAAGCAGGATGACAGCACCACTGCTGACCCACAGATGCATGTGGACACCAGGGGAGGCATCCTCATGCCCTTTACAGCCAATGCTGTTGACAAGACTAGGGTGGGGATTGTCCCAAAGGCAGCATTCCAGAGTGGCCAGAGCACCAACTGGTATGTACTGGTTTATTCTGGTGCAGTGTGGCTCTCAGTCCACATTAATCCTGCTGCTGTGAAATCCCTTGGGATGGGGGGGGGGGGGAAGAGAACTGGGCTTCCAATGCCTGCTTCTCACTCATTGGCTTCGCCAACGTTCTCCAGAGGATGCAGGAGGAAGCACTCACTCTCAGCGTGCAACAATGCTCTTGCTCTGGTCCAATGTTTGGAGGCTGGCTGGGTGGTGCTCGCAGATGGGGCCTTCATGTCAAGGCAGGCAGGCAGGGCGGGCTAAGGGCTTTAGGGCAAGGGCTGCCAATTGGGGGGGGGCATAGCACTCCCCCCACCTTTCTGTTCTCTGCTAGCCTTCCCTCTCTCTTTCTCTCCACATTGCTGCTTTGGTGGGGCCTGGGGAATGGCCCTGAGGGTGAGGGGGGATTGGCAGCTCCTTCCCTGGGCAGGCTTGCTTATGGGTGGGCCTGCCTTTCAGTGCACTGCTGCTGGCGTGGAGCCTGGGCCCTCCGCTCCCTCCTCTGTTTGCTGGCAGGGAAGCCCTGGGAGTTTGGCCGGAGACCCAGAGGGAGCCATCCATCCTCCCGAGGGCCAGATTCACCCAGCCTGGCACCACAAGCCGGGTGAATAAACCAGTAAACACCAGTTGGCACTCTGGCCTCCAGGAGGGGACAATGGGGCGGCCCTGAGGGCAAGGGAATGGGGAGGGGGCTCCCTCCCTGCACACAAACACAGCCCCTTCCCTTCTCCATACATGGCCAGCGCCCCCCCCCCCAACCACCACCCTCGAAGCACAACTGGCCCTGGCCTGTATTGAAATACAGTAGAGTCTCGCTTATCCAACATAAATGGGCCAGCAGAATGTTGGATAAACGAAAATGTTGGATAATAAGGAGGGATTATGGAAAAGCCTATGAAACATCCAATTACATCAAATTAAGCACCAAAATATCATGCTTTGCAACAAATTGACAGAAAAAGCAGTTTGATACACAATAACGTTATGTAGCAATTGCTGTATTTACGAATTGAGCAGCAAAACATTGCAATGTATTTTTAAATGTTTTTTGTCATGTCAGGAGTGACTTGAGAAATTGCAAGTTGCTTCTGGTATGAGAGAATTGGCCGTCTGCAAGGACGTTGCCCAGGGGATACCCGGATGATTTGATGTTTAACATCCTTGTGGATGATTTGATGTTTATCATCCCTGCTCTCATGTCCCCTTTGCATGAGGAGCTGGAGCTGATAGAGGGAGCTCATCTGCCTCTCCCCGGATTCGAACCTGTGACCTGTCAGTCTTCAGTCTTGCCGGTTTAACCCGCTAAGCCACCCGGTATTGAAACAGCTGTGGATCCCGGTGGGAGGCAGACAGCATTGAATAATACAGAATTGTGTCCAGAGGTGGGCAACCAAAATGATCAAGGGTCTGGAGAACAAGCCCTGAGAGGAGCGGCTTAAAGAGCTGGGCATGTTTAGCCTGCAGAGGAGAATTTATTTATTTATTTAAAAGTTTTGTATACCGGCCTTCTCTCCTCTCTTGAGGGACTCAGACCGGTTTCCAGCCATAATATCACATACAATCAATAAAACATCATAATACATATTACAGTAAAACATTAAAACAGCAATTACAATCAATAACTATAATGGTCAGTCGTCACACGAAAATCGTTGCTCATCCTCCTCCATTCATATCTCAGGGTGATGGCTCACTCATCGAATGCCTGTCTCCATAATCAAGTCTTCACCTGTTTCCTAAATGTCAGGACAGAAGGGGCGGTTCTGATCTCCAGTGGGAGAGAGTTCCAGTCGAGGGGCCACCACCGAGAAGGCCCTGTCCCTCGTCCCCACCAGACGCGCTTGTGAGGCCGGTGGGACCGAGAGCAGGGCCCCTCCAGACGATCTTAATAATCTTGATGGTTCATAGGGGAGAATACGTTTGGAGAGGTAAACAGGGCTGGAGTTGTTTAGGGCTTTATAGGTCAAGACCGCACTTTGAATTGTGCTCGGAAGCTAATTGGCAGCCAGTGGAGCTGGTGTAACAGCGGAGTGGTGTGCTCCCTGGACCCAGCGCCCCGGTAGTAGTCTGGCTGCCGAGCGTTGGACTAGCTGCAGCTTCCGAGCCGTCTTCAAAGGCAACCCCACATAGAGAGCCTTGCAGTAATCTAAACGGGATGTAACCAAAGCGTGGACCACCGTGGCCAAGTCAGACTTCTCTATAGGAAAGGAACATTAGGAAGAACTTTCTGACTGTGAGAGTTGTTCAGCAGTGGAACTCTCTGCCCAAAGTGTGGTGGAGTCTCCTTCTTTGGAGGCTCTTAAACAGAGGCTGGGTGGTGGTTGTAGGTTTTTCCGGGCTATATGGCCATGTTCTGGAGGCAATTTTTCTCCTGACGTTTCGCCTGCATCTATGGCAAGCATCCTTAGAGGTAGTGAGGTCTGTTGGAACTAGGAAATGGGTTTATATATCTGTGGAATGACCAGGGTGGGACAAAAAACTCTTGTCTGCTGGAGCTAGGTGTGAATGTTTCAACTGACCACCTTGATTTGCATTCAATGGCTTGGAAGCGCTTGGGGGGAATCTTTTGTTGAGAGTGATTTCATGTGCCTGTTTGTTTCCGCTCTGTTGTTTTGCTGCTGTAATTTTTGAGGCCTTCCTTTTTCCTCGGAGAGGGGGCGTGGCTAGGAGAAGCGCCTCCCCCCAAGAGGCGGGGCCTATGAAGAAAAGGAGACATTCCTTTTTCCCTCTGGAGGGGGCGTGTCTAGGAGAAGCCCCTCCCTCTAAGAGGCGGGGCCTATGAAGAAAAGGAGACATTCCTTTTTCCCTCTGGAGGGGGCGTGTCTAGGAGAAGCCCCTCCCTCCAAGAGGCGGGGCCTATGAAGAAAAGGAGGAGGCCTTCCTCTTTACTTGGGAGGGGGCGTGGCTTAGAGAAGCCCCTCCCTCCAAGAGGCGGGGCCTATGAGGAAAAGGAGGAGGCCGGCCTCTTTACTTGGGAGGGGGCGTGGCTTAGAGAAGCCCCTCCCTCCAAGAGGCGGGGTTTATGAGGAAAAGGGGATTTTCCTTTTTCCTCGGAGAGGGGGCGCGTCTAGGAGAAGCCCCTCCCTCCAAGAGGCGGGGCCTATGAGGAAAAGGAGGAGGCCTTCCTTTTTACTGGAGAGGGGGGCGTGTCTCCGAGAAGCTCCTCCCTCCAAGAGGCGGGGCCTATGAAGAAAAGGAGACATTCCTTTTTCTCTGGAGGGGGCGTGGCTAAGAGAAGCCCCTCCTTCCAGGAGGCGGGGTTTATGAGGAAAAGGAGATTTTCCTTTTTCCTCGGAGAGGGGGCGTGTCTAGGAGAAGCCCCTCCCTCCAAGAGGCGGGGCCTATGAAGAAAAAGAGGCATTCCTTTTTCCTGGAGAGGGGGCGTGTCTAGGAGAAGCCACTCCCTCCAAGAGGCGGGGCCTATGAGGAAAAGGAGGAGGCCTTCCTTTTTACTGGAGAGGGGGGCGTGTCTCCGAGAAGCCCCTCCCTCCAAGAGGCGGGGCCTATGAGGAAAAGGAGGAGGCCTTCCTTTTTACTGGAGAGGGGGGCGTGTCTCCGAGAAGCCCCTCCCTCCAAGAGGCGGGGCCTATGAGGAAAAGGATGAGGCCTTCCTTTTTCCTCGGGAGGGGGCGTGGCTCAGAGAAGCTCCTCCCTCCAGGAGGCGTGGCCTGCCTCTCTGCCTGTCTCCCTGCCTTCCGGCGTCGGCGATGGCGCTGATCGAGGGCGTCGGGGACGAGGTGACTGCTCTCTTCGGCCTGGTGGGGGCGCTGCTGGTCCTGGCCTTGGCCTGGCTCTCCACGCGCACCGCCGGACCCGCGCCCGCCTCGCCCAACGCCACCGCCTCCTCCGAACAGGAGCCCCCTGGCGGGAGGGAGGTCGCCGCGGCCCCCGACGAGGAGGAAGGGGAGGAGCCTCCGGGCAGCCGCCGGGAAGCGGAAGCGGAAGGGGAGCTCCGGCACCGCGCCCCCCAGGAGAACCCCCCCGCAGGAACAACAACAACAACAACAGCAGCTGCCACCCCGACCGGAAGTGGTGGTGGGGATGGTGGGTCCTTCGTCCTGCGGCTCAAGTTCCTCAACGACACCGAGCGCCTGGCCAGGGTCCGCCCCGAGGACACCGTCGGAGCCCTCAAGAGGTACGAAGCCCTTTCCACCAGGCCTGGCCCCAGTAGGCCCAGGCCTGCTTTATTTTACGAGGGTTGACTGAAAAGTAATGCCTCCCCCTTCACAACTCCTCAACAGATGGCAGTCCTGGTATGCAGCAGGTACTGGCTTGTTCAGTAGACCCTCCTCTACAGTTCCATTTCGGCAGGAAGCCCTAGCACTGAAGGGTTGTGTTGTTAAAGTGGAAAGTAATGCCTCCCCCTTCATAACTCCTCAACAGATGGCAGTCCTGGTATGCAGCAGGTACTGGCTTGTTCAGTAGACTCTCCTCTACAGTTCCATTTTGGCCGGAAGCCTTCGCACTGAACGGTTGTGTTGTTAAAGTGAAAAGCAATGCTTCCACCTTTGTAACTTCTCAACAGATGGCAGTACTGGTATGCGGCAGGGACTGGCTTGTTCAGTAGACCCTCCTCTACAGTTCCATTTTGGCAGGAAGCCTTAGCATTGAACGGTTGTGTTGTTAAAGTGAAAAGTAATGTCTCCACCTTCGTAACTGCTCAACAGATGGCAGTACTGGTATGCGGCAGGTACTGGCTTGTTCAGTAGACTCTCGTCCACAGTTCCATTTTGGTGTGGAGCCTTAGCATTGAACGGTTGTGCTGTTACACTCCAAAGTATGGAATCCTGCGCAGATGGTCGGTCAATGCGACTTAAGCAATGTGCAGTCACTGAATTCTTGGCAGCAGAGACACACAGTACTCCCCACAACACAATAACCATAAATAGCTTGCATTCTCTGATGAATCCCCTTTGGGGTGACACCTTCTGCTGCCAAGAATTCAGTGACTGCACCTTGCTTAAGTCGCATTGACCAACTGTCTGCACAGGGTTCCATACTTCACACTGTAACAACACAACCGTTCAATGCTAAGGCTCCACACCAAAATGGAACTGTAGAGGAGAGTCTACTGAACAAGCCAGTACCTGCCACATACCAGTACTGCCATCTGTTGAGCAGTTACGAAGGCGGAGACATTATTTTTCACTTTAACAACACAACCCTTCAGTGCTAAGGCTTCCTGCTGAAATGGAACTGTAGAGGAGGGTCTACTGAACAAGCCAGTACCTGCTGCATACCAGTACTGCCATCTGTTGAGGAGTTGCAAGGTGGAAGCATTGCTTTTCATTCAACCCCACATAAGAGGAAGACAGAAATGCAGAGAACTAGAGCTCCCAATGGAAGGACCCTGAGCAGTGGCGGTACATTGGCTTATATAGTCGCACAGGGCTGTGCCACCCTTTCAGGGCTGCACTCACTAAAGGCCTCAAAATGCACTCTTGAGCATTTCCCCACTTTAATTCATATGTTGAGGCTAGTCCCTGGTGGCACAGTGGGTTAAATTGCTGAGCTGCTGAACTTGCTGACCAAAACATCACCGGTTCAGATCCAGGGAGCAGAGTGAGCTCCTGCTATTAGCCCCAGCTTCTGCCAACCTAGCAGTTCAAAATATACAAATGTGAGTAGATCAAGAGGTACTGTACCAGAGGGAAGGTAGCGGTGCGCCATGCAATCATGCCAGTGTCCAGATGACCTTGGAAGCAACTGTCAATGGGCAACGCCAGCTCTTCGGCTTAGAGATGGAGATGAGCCCTAGAGTCCCAGAGTCAGGCACAACTAGGCTTAACGTCAAGGGGAACCTTGACCTTTACTATGCTGAGGCTGCCTCTCAGACTTCTGGAGTTTGTAGTTCAACAACAACAACAACAGAACTTTATTTATACCCTGCCTCCATCTCCCCAGAGGGACTCGGGGCGGCTAATATGAGGCCAAGCCCAAACAGTTACAATAAAGCAAAAGTACATATAAAACAAACAATGACACCAAATAAAATGCTAAATAATAACATAATAATGAAATGAAAATAACAAAGACATAATAAAAATACATGATAGAATGCTAATGGAATTAGACAGAGCGAGCTGGGCCAAAGGAGATGGGTAAACAATGATAAAACCCATGGGTGAGATAGGTGGAAGGTGCCATGACTAGTGGGAGGCTCGGGTGGGATAACAGTAAAATTAATCTTCAAGTGAGGGATGAGATGAGGAGGGACCTTTCAACTGTTCTTCCACAGGAGCCCTGGACCTCCCTAAACTACAAAGCCCAGAATTCTGCAGGAGGCAGGCACAGCATTTATAATGGATTGAAGTGGATACATGCTCAAGGGTGATGAGGCCCTTATTGTCAGGCTCACTTGGTTAAAAGAAAATCAGGCCATTTAACATTATGGTCCATATCCTCTGCCCTGTAGCCTCCCTCTGTCTACAACAGTGGTCCCCAACCTGTGGTCCGCGGAGCAGCAGTGGTCCCCAAGAACGAAAATAGGTTCCTTGTCCTCACCGTTACCACACCATTGCAACGAGAGTGACTAGTCTCGTGAAACCCTCTTATAGTGCCATGGCATATTAAAAATGGTTTTCTGTTGGTGAGCAGATGGCGAATACTGGGTGGCATATGTTCTGTACCAGAAACTAGAGCTGATGTGGTCTGTCCAATGCCATTTTCTGAATCAGCACCCCAAATCGTCAAATTGAATCTAAAGTTGACCAAAACCTGACTTTGTTATCCTTCTGGGAATAATGTTGGAGAGTGAGTGGTACCCGGTCAAAAAAAGGTTGGGGACCACTGATCCAATGCAATTTTCTGAATCAGCAACCCACAATAACCAAACCCAATTTAAAGTGGGTCAAAAACTGATTCGTAAGCCTTTTGGTACTAATGTTGGAGAGTGAGTGGTCCTTGGTCAAAAAAAAAGGTTGGGAACCAGTGGTCTAGATCTTATGAATAGGAACTCTTTGTCCCAAACCCACCAAGCACAAGGTGAGTGTGGATGCAAGTGGAGTAGGGAAGGGTCCAACAAGCCTCCGGTTGGTCAGGGCCATCTGTGTCCATCAGGGGGGGGCGGAGCCTAGTTGCCCCCCTCCCTTGGCAGTTCCAGGGAAGGGGCTCAGGCAAGGTGTGGCTGAGATGGCAGCTGAGACTGAGCTGAGTGTTGTGTGTTTTCTGGACTGTGTGGCTGTGTTCTAGAAGCATTTGTTTGCGATGTTTGCAGGTGAAATGCCAGGAGCAAATGCTGCCCGAACATGGATATATTTATTTATTTATTTACAGTATTTCTATACCACTTTTCTCACCCCTAGGGGGACTCAAGGAGCCCCCGGCGGCACAGTGGGTTAAAGCACTGAGCTGCTGAGCTTGTTGATTGAAAGGTCGCAGGTTCGATTCCAGGGAGCGGCGTGAGCTTCCGCTGTCAGCCCTAGCTTCTGCCAACCTAGCAGTTTGAAAACATGCAAATGTGAGTAGATCAATAGGTACCGCCCCGGCGGGAAGGTAACGGCGCTCCATGCAGTCATGCCGGCCACATGACCTTGGAGGTGTCTAAAGACAACGCTGGCTCTTTGGCTTAGAAATGGAGATGAGCACCAACCCACAGAGTCAGACATGACTGGACTTAATGTCAGGGGACTACCTTTACCTTTACCTTTAGGGGGACTCAAAGTAGTTTACACATAACTGGCAAAACTTCAATGCCATACATTGGACACTGACGCAATGCGGTTGTTTTTTTGTAATAATTGTGCATTGTAATTGCTTATTGGCAATTTATGGATAATGTGTTAAGTCAATTGTTATATGTTGTATGGAACCACTGCTGTTTCTACTGTTTTTACTGTTTGTGAACCGCTGTGAGTCGCCTTCGGGCTTGAGATACAGCGGTATAGAAGCAAAGTAAATAATAAATAAATAAATAAATAAATAAATAATCCATAACAACCACAATAATAAATTTATTTATTTCATTTATTTCATTCACTTATACCCCGCCCTTCTCACCCCTGGGGGGACTCAGGGCGGCTTACATAAAGGGCACAATTAGATGCCCAAAACATACAACAAGTAAACCAAAAGTATAAAATTCAACAGTTAAGTTAAACAACAATACATAATAAAAGCATAAAACCACAATTAAACATAAATCATAATTAGACAGTACATAAGCAATCATTAAAACAATAAATAATAATAATAAAAATATACAGCCTGGAAAACACACAACACCCTGGTAATTCCGGCCGTGAAAGTCTTCAACACACTGGGCAGAATGTTGGTGCTGCTTGGGGGGGATTGTGGCCCTACACTCCAGCTGATGCCCCCCTCCGTCTTCCCCACTTTGCAGGGCCCAGTTCCCGGGGCAGGAGCAGCTGGTGCGTCTGATCTTCCAGGGGCAGCTGCTGGGGGACGACACGCAGACGTTGGGGGCCCTGCAGCTGAGCGACCGCAGCGTGCTGCACTGCTACATCTCCTCCCAGCGGCACCGGGCGGAGCACCAGCCCCAGGCGGGAGGGCCCCGCTCGCACCCCGGCCACGGCCCGGCCCTGCAGGTGGGCAGCCTGATGATGCCGCTCTTTGTGCTGATGCTGGGGGGCCTCTGGTACTTCCAGCTCCAGTACCGCCACCTCTTCACCGCCACGGCCACCGCCTGCCTGGCCGGCCTCACCCTCCTCTTCAGCGCCATGGCCTTCGCCGTCTACCGCAGATAGGACGGGCGCAGGCGGGGGGGCGGAGGTGGACGGACGGACAGAGTGGCCTCTGAGGAACCCCCACCCACTCCCTGCCTGCCTGCCTGCCTCTGGGCAGCTACAAGGAGGAGGAAGGACATGCGCTGGATCCCTCTGCAGCATTGACTCGGGATTTGGCCCCTTGCTTGTGCCTCAAAGCAGCTCCTTCTGAAGGGATCGTGTTGCTAGAGGGCCTCCCTCTTAGGCCTAAAGGGGGTCTTGGGGGGTGGGTCAGGAGGGGGCTGGGCGCTGGCCTTGCCCCCCAAGGAAGAGAGAGAAGGACGTGGGAAGAGAGGCGCCTCTGCCTCGGACTAGGCCTCTTTTGGCATTAAAGGCAAGCTGTGAAGGACTGGACTTAGTGTTTCTGTGGGAAAATATGGGGGGTGGCGAGGTGTGGGGAGTGGGCGCAGTCCCAAATGAGGCTGCGGCTGAGGCTTGCATCCCAGGCGGTTGTTGTTTATTCGTTCACTTGCTTCTGACTCTTGGTGACCTCTTGGACCAGCCCAGGGCTCCCTGTGCTTTCCTCTAAGGCAGGGGTCCTCAAACTAAGGCCCGGGGGCCAAATGTGGCCCTCCAAGGTCATTTACCCGGCCCTTGCTCAGGGTCAACCAAAGTCTGAAATGACTTGAAAGCCCAGAACAACAACAACAATCTCCTCCCATTCAAATACTAATAAGTTTATAATTGTTAAAATTGTTCTTCATTTTAATTATTGTATTGTTTTGAAGTATTTTTTGCACTACAAATAAGATCTGTGCAGTGTGCATACGAATTCATTCATGTTTTTTTCAAATTATAATCCGGCCCTCCAACAATTTGAGGGACTGTGACCTGGCCCTCTGTTTAAACAGTTCAAACAGACTCTTGGTGACCTCCTGGACCAGCCCAGGGCTCCCCGTTCTTTCCTCAAAGGGCTGAGAGAGTGTGACTGGCCCAAGGCAATCCAGTGGCTGTCAATGGCCAAAAGAGGATTCGAACCCTGGTCTCTAGAGTCAAACCACAACACCACGATGGCTCCTGTCAATCTCCATGGATTTTGTCATTAACACCAACAATGGCTTTTAGAGTCGTATGTTGTTATTGTTTATTTGTTCAGTCACTTCCGACTCTTGATGAACAGCTTCTTGTGGGCTGTGGCCACCCTCAGCACCTTCATTGTCAAGCCAGTCCCTTCAAGGATGACATCCATCCACTCACCTCGCCCTTGGTCGGCCCCTCTTCCGCTTTCCTTCCCTTTTCCCAGCATCATTCTCTCCTCCAAGCTTTTCTATCTCCCTCTTTGCCTCTCATCTCCTTCCCTCCAATGAGCAGTCAGCTTTTCTTTCCTGAAATATGAACGGGTTGTATCTTCTGGTGGTCAAAGACACTTTCAGGATTTTCCTCCAACACCACAGTTCAAAAGCGCCTCTCTTCCTTTGCTCAGCCTTCCTTATGGTCCAGCCCTCACATCCATAGGTTACTACGGGCAATAGCATCTGACTATGTGGGCAATAGCTTTGACTATGCAATGGACCTTGGTTGCCAGTGTGATGTGTAGTGTATAGTGTCTAGATCCAGGGAAGTCCTGCTCCCCATGCTCTATTCCACCTTGGTTAGACCACACCTGGAATACTGTGTCCAATTCTGGGCACCACAATTGAAGGGAGATGTTGACTCTAAGCTGGAATGTCTCCAGAGGAGCGTGAGCAAAATGATCAAGGGTCTGGAGAACAAGCCCTATGAGGAGCGGCTTAAAGAACTGAGCCTGTTTAGCCTGAAGAAGAGAAGGCTGAGAGGAGATATGATGAGGGCCAGGTACATATATTTATTTATTTACCTTATTTATATTCTGGCTCTCTTAGCCCGAAGGCGACTCAAGGTGGTTTACAGTCAGCAGTCAATGCCCCCAACAACATAAAATAGAGTTAAAAACATTACATATAATATAAACCACATAAAAGCAATAAACAATAAAATCCCATAAAACACAAGTCCTCAGCATCTCATCACTGAAATAATTTTTCTGTTGCATCATCCAATCGTTCAGTGGATCTAAAATTAGTCTGTTACACTGCGTCTGCAAATGCTTACTCAAACAGCCAGGTTGTGACTCTCTTTGGAAATTTTAGGAGGGAGGGGGTCGATCTGATATCCCTAGGGAGGGTGTTCCATAGCCGAGGGGCCAACGCTGAAAAGGCCCTGACTCATTCCTGCCAATAGCATCTGCGAAGGTGGCAGGACTGAGAGCAGGGCCTCCCCAGACAATCTTAAGTGCCTAGATATCTGAGAGGAAGTCATCGGGAGGAGGGAGCAAGCTTGTTTTCTGCTTCCCTGGAGACTAGGATGCAATGGAGCTACGGCTTCAAACTACAAGAAAGGAGATTCCACCTGAACATGAGGAAGAACTTCCTGTGAGGGCCTTTCAGCAGTGGAACTCTCCGCCCCAGAGTGCGGTAGAGGCTCCTTTGCAGGCTTTGAAGCAGAGGCTGGAAGGCCATCTGTCGGGGATGCTTTGAATGCAATTTTCCTGCTTCTTGGCAGAATGGGGTTGGACTGGATGATGGCCCACCAGGTCTCTTGGAACTCTAGGATTCTATACAAAGCTGCAGTTCTATATAAGCAGGTCTCAGTCTGTGAGAAGGCCTCACAGTGTGAGGTAGGCATTATGAGGTTGGACTGGATGGCCCACCAGCTCTCTTCCAACTCTTCTAGGATTCCATGAAAAGCTGTAGCTTAGTAGCTGTCGATCTGAGGTAAACCTCAGTGGGAGAAAGGTCTCAGTCTGTGAGAAGGCCTCACAGTGTGAGGTACACATTATGGGGTTGGGCTGGATGGCCCACCAAGTCTCCTCCAACTCTTCTAGGATTCTATACAAAGCTGCAGTTCTATATAAGCAGGTGTGCCTGTAGCTTAGTAGCTGTCAGTCTGAGGTAAACCTCAGTGGGAGAAAGGTCTCAGTCTGTGAAAAGGCCTCACAGTGTGAGGCAGGCATTATGGGGTTGGTCTCGGTGGCCCACCAGGTCTCTTCCAACTCTAGGATTCTATACAAAGCTGCAGTTTTATATAAGCAGGTGTGCTGAAGCTTAGTAGCTGTCAGTCTGAGGTAAACCTCAGTGGGAGAAAGGTCTCGGTCTGTGAGAAGGCCTCACAGTGCGAGGTAAGCATTATAAGGTTGGACTGGGTGGCCCACCAGGTCTCTTCCAACTCTAGGATTTTATGAAAAGCCGCAGTTCTATATACGCAGGCGTGCCTGTAGCTTAGTAGCTGTCAGTCTGAGGTAAACCTCAGTGGGAGAAAGGTCTCAGTCTGAGAAGGCCTCACAGTGTGAGGGGTTGGACTGGATGGCCCACCAGGTCTCTTCCAACTCTAGGATTGTGAAAAGCTGCAGTTCTATATAAGCAGGTGTGCCTGTAACTTAGTAGCTGTCAGTCTGAGGTAAACCTCAGTGGGAGAAAGGTCTCAGTCTGAGAAGGCCTCACAGTGTGAGGGGTTGGACTGGATGGCCCACCAGGTCTCTTCCAACTCTAGGATTGTGAAAAGCTGCAGTTCTATATAAGCAGGTGTGCCTGTAACTTAGTAGCTGTCAGTCTGAGGTAAACCTCAGTGGGAGAAAGGTCTCAGTCTGAGAAGGCCTCACAGTGTGAGGGGTTGGACTGGATGGCCCACCAGGTCTCTTCCAACTCTAGGATTGTGAAAAGCTGCAGTTCTATATAAGCAGGTGTGCCTGTAACTTAGTAGCTGTCAGTCTGAGGTAAACCTCAGTGGGAGAAAGGTCTCGGTCTGTGAGAAGGCCTCATGTGTGAGGGGTTGGACTGGGTGGCCCACCAGGTCTCTTCCAACTCGAGGATTCCATGATGTCTCTGCTGTTCACTCTTTTCTTGAGATGGGTCCTTGCTCTCCTCCCAAGAAGGAAACGCCTTCTGGCGGTCTGGCTGCAGCCTGCGTCTGCGGAGAGGCCTTTCCTTGGTGGGATTTGAACCACGACCCTGGCCTTCCACCACAAGCCCCGCGACCCTGCCTTGAGGCCTCCTTGCCTGGGCTCCCTCCTTCAGGATCCCTTCTGGAGAAGCCGGACCTAGGCCCACTGCCCGGCTCTCTGAAATGTGGCCCTCTTGGCCAGAGCCCAGCTCATGGTGGTTGTCGCCTTTCCCTTCCTCTGGGGATTATTTCTTTGGCTTGAGAAACGGCAAAAGTCACTTCCGGTGTGAGAGAATTCAGTTTGTCTGGATGTTTTGATGTTTTACCCTCCTTGTGGGAGGCTTCTCTCACGTCCCCTTTGCACGGGGAGCTGGAGCTGACAGGGGGAGCTCAACCCCACTCTCATGGGATTCTAGAGTTGGAAGAGACCTGGCAGGCCCTCATCTAGTCCAACCCGATTCGGCCAAGGAGCAGGACAATCGCGTTCAAAGCACCCCTGACAGCTGGCCATGAAGCCCCTGCTCCATCACACTCCCTCCTGGGGCAGAGAGTTCCCCTGATGAACAGCCCTCTATAAATAAAGAACTATAACCCCATTCTGCCAAGAAGCAGGAATATTCCATTCAAAGCACCCCTAACAGATGGCCGTCCAGCCTCTGTTTCCAAGCCTCCTCCACACTCCCTCCTGGGGCAGAGAGTTCCCCCGATGAACAGCCCTCTATAAATAAAGAACTACAACCCATTCTGCCAAGGAGCAGGACGATCACGTTCAAAGCACCCCTGACAGATGGCCATGCAGCCTCTGTTTCCAAGCCTCCTCCACACTCCCTCCTGGGGCAGAGAGTTCCCCTGATGAACAGCCCTGTCTCTCTATAAATAAAAGCCTCTCCTGGTTATTCTGAAGCCAGGGAGAGGCGGGCTGGAAGGGGCGGGCCGGGCCGAGCGCCCAGCCAATGAGGGCCTCCCAAGTCGCGAGAGCGGCTTTCCAGGTGGCAGGGCCCAATCTACTTGATCCGGAAGTGTTCTGACAGCGGGACCGGAAGTGTTGTGCGCGCGCTGCCGGCTTTGCCTTCGGGGCGGGGCAAAGGGCGCGTCCTCCGAGGCCCCGCCCCTCCCCTGCCTTCCGCACGCCAATCAGGAGCGGCGGCCCTTTCCGCCTTCCCTTCCTCCCTCCCTCCCTGCCATTGGCGGTGACGAGCGGGGGCGGGGCTAGGCCAGGCTCCTCCCCTTTCTCCTGGGCGGTGCTTTGCCTGGATCCCTGTCCCGGAAGAGAGAGAAGGAGCGCGCCCCCTGGCGGGCGGGCGGGCGGGGCGGGGAAGGGCTGGAGTGGCGGCTGAGGAGCCCTTCCCTCTGCTGCTTGTAGATAGATAGACAGAGAGAGAGAGAGAGAGAGAGAGAGAGAGAGCGCCCTCCTGTTCCTTCCGGGAGATGCTTCTGCGCCTGCGCCGCCCGCCCCCGGCCCCCCCTCTCCTCCCCGGGACCCTGGCCCCGCCACGCGGACTCTGCGGGGAGGGGGAGGGGCAGGGGCAGGGGGAGGGCTGCCCCGCACAGACCCCCCCGCGCCCACCACCCTCCCCCTCCCCCTCTCCCTCGGCGAGGATGATGCGCCTGTTGCTGCGGTCGCGGAGCCCCGCCGGTGAGTGGGGGGGGGGGCTCCCTTCCTCGACTTCCCCCTCTCTCTCTCTCTCTCCTTCTCCTTCCTCTTCCCCCTTTATTCTTCCCTTCTTTTTCTCTCCCCTCCTTCCTTCCTTGCAGCTGCCTTGTTGGAAAACTACTACAGGCTCCACAACGAAGACCCATTGAGTGAGCAGACCCTTCTTCAGGCAACGCAGAGCATGGTGTCCTCCATCTCTGAAGCCAAGAAAGGACAGTGGATCAAGCCGGTCACAGAGGTCGACCTGGGCAGGAGCAGCCAGAAGGCCTGGAGGCTGATGAGACGGCTGAGCAAAGACCCCTCACAAACTCAGACCCATGCCAACGTAAAGGCAGAGCAGATAGCACACCAACTCTTGAAGAACGGGAAACCCAACCTTGCCACCAAAGTAGGAAAGAAACCAATAGCCAGGCAACCAGAGGTTGAGAACAACAACCTCCATGAACCCTTCACATCTACTGAATTGGACATGGCTCTCAATAAATGCAAAAATGGCAAAGCAGCTGGCCTGGATGATCCTATGGATGGAACAAATCAAGAACTTTGGTCCAAAAGCAAGGCGCTGGCTGCTGGAGCTGATGAACAACTGCACTGCATCCTGTCAGATCCCCAAAATCTGGAGGAAAGCAAGAGTCATCGCCATCTTGAAGCCAGGCAAAGACCGTAATGACCCAAAAAGCTACAGACCAATCTCCCTGTTGTGCCACCTCTACAAAGTTCTGGAGAGACTTATTTTGCATAGAATTATGGAAAAATAGACCCATGTCTGATTCCACAGCAAGCTGGCTTCAGAAAAGGCAAAAGCTGCACATCGCAAGTGCTGAACCTGACTCAGCACATAGAAGATGGCTTTGAAAGGCAGCAGATCACAGGAGCTGTCTTCATAGACTTGTCAGCAGCCTATGAGACTGTGAACCACCGCTGCCTCCTCCTGAGAAAAATGCATAATATCACAAAGGACGACCACCTCACCCGCCTCATAGGAAACCTGCTACAAAACAGGAGCTTTTTTGTTGAGTTCCAGGGCCAGAGAAGCAGATGGCGGAAACAGAAGAACGGCCTGCCTCAGGGGAGCGTGCTTGCTCCATCCATGTTCAACATCGACACAAATGACCAGCCACTGCCAGAAGGGACAGAGAGTTTCATCTATGCAGATGATCGTGCCATTACTGCTCAAGCAGGGAGCTTTGAAACTGTAGAACAGAAGCTCTCCGAAGCTCTAGGTGCCCTTACTGCCTATTACAGGGAAAACCAGCTGATCCCCAACCCATCTAAAACACAGACATGCGCCTTTCATCTCAAGAACAGAGAAGCATCCCGAGCTCTGAAGATCACCTGGGAAGGAATCCCACTGGAGCATTGCAGCGCACCCAAATACCTGGGAGTCACTCTGGACTGTGCTCTGACCTACAAGAAGCACTGCCTGAACATCAAGCAAAAAGTGGGCGCTAGAAACAATATCATACGAAAGCTGACTGGCACAACCTGGGGATCACAACCAGATACAGTGAAGACATCTCCCTTGCGGTGTGCTACTCTGCTGCTGAGTATGCATGCCCAGTGTGGAACACATCTCACCACACTAAAACAGTGGATGTGGCTCTTAATGAGACATGCCGCATTATCACGGGGTGTCTGCACCCTACACCACTGGAGAAATTACACTGCTTAGCCGGCATTGCACCACCTGACATCCGCCGGGAAGTAGCAGCCAATAGTGAAAGGACCAAGGCAGAGACATCTCCAGCCCATCCCCTGTTTGGGTATCAGCCAGCACGTCAACGACTTAAATCTAGACATAGTTTTCTAAGAGCTACAGAGACACTCGCTGGAACACCTCAGCAAGCGAGAGTCCAAAAATGGCAGGCTCAAACCCAGCACCTTAACCAATGGCTGATACCAAATGAGAGACTCCCCCCTGGGCACACAGAAGACGGGGCGACTTGGAAGGCATTGAACAGACTGCACTCTGGCACCACGAGATGCAGAGCCAACCTTCAGAAATGGGGCTACAAAGTAGAATCCTCGACATGCGAGTGTGGAGAAGAACAAACCACTGACCACCAGCTGCAATGCAACCTGAGCCCTGCCACATGCACAATGGAGGACCTTCTTGCAGCAACACTGGAAGCACTCCAAGTGGCCAGATACTGCTCAAAGGACATTTAACCAGCTACCAAACTCACAAGTTGTGTATTTTTCTGTTTGTTTGCTTTGTTCTGTTAGACTGGTTGTTCTGACACAACAAATAAATAAATTCCACCCTTTCATTCTTCCTTCCCTTCCTTCTCGCTTCCCTCCCTTCCCTCCCTCCCTCTTTCTCCTTCCATTCTTCCTTTTCTTCCACCCTTTTGTCCTTCCCTTCTTTCCATCCTCCCTTTCCACCTTTTTGTCCTTTTTCCCCTCTCTCTGAACCTCTTTCCTCCTTCCTTTCCTCTCTCTGTCTTTCTCCTTCCTTCCTACCTAGTTTGGTCTTCATCAGTCATTGGATGAGGGTCGCAGCGGGAAGTGAGTCTCGGGAAGTGAGCGGAGGTACTTAAAGTCCCATCATCCATGGTCCGCCCACCTCCAAATTGCCATAGGATATAGAGTGGGTCATGATGGCTTTGTTTGCCAAGTTTGGTCTTTATTGGTCTTTGTTGGGGGCCGCAGTGTTATGTGGGAAACGCAGGGTTTGAAAGTACTACAAATCCCATCGTCCATTCTCCGTCCTACCCCAAACCTTATCAGGACATAAAGGGGGTCATGTGTGTTATGTGTGCCAAGTTTGGTCTTGATCAGTCATTGGATGACGGTTGCAGCAGTCTCGGGAAGTGAGTGGAGGTACTTCTAGTCCCATCAACCCACAGCAGGATGAAGAGTGGATCGTGGGGGCTCTCTCTGTGTGCCAAGTTTGGTCTTTATCGGTGTTTGTTGGGGGCCTTTGCTGAAGGCCTGGGTCAACTTGGGCCCTCCTTCCAGGTGTGGGAACCAAAGCGTTTGAAAGTACTACTGATCCCATCATCCGTTGTCCGCCCTCCCCCAAACCTCACCAGGACGTAAAGGGGCTCATGGGGATTATGTGTGCCAAGTTTGGTCCAGATCCGTCACCTGTGCTGGTCACAGTTGTCTGTGAAAGTGAGAGCCAATCAGAAAGCTGTCACATACACCTCCGCATACAAACATACATACAAACATTCACTTTTATTATATAGATAGATATAGATAATATGGTTTCTCAAACTGAGGCCCACCTCACACTGAGGCCTTTCTCCCACAGAGACCTCTCATGGACTGAGGGCAACTCAGCTACAGACACACCTGTTTATATTGAAGTGCAGCTTTTGCTGAGTCGTTGCATTGATTTAACTCTTTTAAACACTTATGTGGTTTGTGGCACTTTTGTGTGATGTCTGTAAGCCGTTCCGAGTCCCTTCGGGAAGATGGTGGCAGGATATAAATAAAGTCCTATGGCGACAATGATGATGACTCTCCCTCCCCCCCTGCAGGGCTTCCGGCCGACTCTCCGGTACTTCGAGCCCTGGAGAGGAAGTCCCGCCGGCGCCTGGAGCAGGAGGCCCTCTCTAAGACGCTCATCTGCCCTAAAGAACGGCCCTTGACCCACTCCCACCCGTGTCCCGGAGAGGCCTTAGAGGGACAGCCCCGGACCCTGAACCGTGCTGCACTGAGGACCCCTGAGGCCGGCAAGACGGTGGACGAGGAGACCCTGGCCGCCCTCTTCCGCTCGCCGCTTTTCGCCCGCAGCTGCCAGGAGCCCTTCCTCCGCAGCATGGCCGGTGAGCCATAGGAGCAAGGGAGGGGGCAGACCCGGCCTAGGCAGGGGGCAGACCCGGCCTTACCCCTTGCCTTTGCCCTTCCAGAGTGGTTCCCGGGCAGAGCGCAGGCCTTCTCCGCGCCCACTGTGGCCTCCGTGGCCAAGCACTTGGCTCGGCACCGCCTGCGGGAGACACGGCTGCTGGACGCCCTGGCCACCTTCCTGCTGCAGCGCATCCAGAGCCTGGACACCAAGGTCAGTGGAAGGGTCACTACTCCTTCCAGGTGTTTTGGACTTTAGCTCCCACCATTCCTCACAGCCTCAGGCCCTTCCTGTTGCAACTCAGAGTAAGCTTCACCTTGCTTCCAAACACCACCACACAAGAGCTGTAGTCTTATAGTTTATTGAGGAAAAAATCCAAGTCACTATAAAGAATAAGCATTGCAAAGTTCCAAAGATTAAGGTTAAATGCAGAATATAGTTCCAAAGATCTTCAGGTAAAAGCAGGAGACACAATCCTATTGGCAAAGTTCAAGGCAGAGTTCCAGGTACAAGCAATGAAACAGTTGTCCCAAGAATCACAATGCAAGAAATCCCAAGTGTACTGCTTTCCAGGCTAAGGTTATTCCATGAAGCTTTCAGGCTAGTAAGCTACGTTGAACTGACGCTTTCTCAGGGTTTACAAGAAGCCTAAATACCTTTCTAACATGAAAACATTAGGCTCTCATCATCATAAAAGCATTGCGATGACCTTTCACCGAGCTGGCTTCTCGTCTGCTGGCCAGACGAGAATTCTGCCTGACCCTCAGATCAAGATGATCTTGCCGGGTCATCTTCGGTATCAGCGTGGGAAGGCACCTGCTCGCTATCTGCTTCGTTAAAATTCCTTTCTGCTGGGAACGGCTGTGTTGACACTGCACTGTCTGTGGGAGCCTCAGAAGCAGGCCCAGAGATTTGAGGCACAGACAAAGAGCCAGGAATCTGAATCCCATCATCCTCATCGTCAGAAAACAGCTCAGCCACAACACTTTCCTTATTTATTTAGTTACCATATTTATATTCCGCAAATCACAGAACACATGCTCCGCAATCATTCAGTGCCATTAGACAGACAGGCAGATACGCAGCAGCGTGTGTTTTATTCTAACACGCCCAAAAACCCAGGTGCAAATTAGTCTCAGACCAATAGTCAAGGTAAACAGAAAATCTTTACTCTCTTAACTTTGCAGATATTTATTTATTTATTTATTTACTATATTTGTATACCGCTCTTCTCAGCCCTTGGGCGACTCAGAGCGGTTAACAACAACAAAATTCAATGCTAAAAACATCACAAAACGGTTAAAATTTTTTAAAACAATTTGTTTATTTATTTATTGACAGTATTTCTACTCCGCCCTTATCACCCCGCAGGGGACTCAGGGCGGATTACAATGTACACATATATGGCAAACATTCAATGCCAAAGACAAACAACACATATAGACAGATAGTCAGAGGCTATTTCACTTTTTCTGGCCGCCAGGGGAGCTGTCGCTTTCATCGTCCATATGCGACACTGATGAAGTACTTCCGCATTCCCTGCATGCTTTGCTGGTGTCTTTTTTGTGGCCTCATAAATTAGTTAAATTAGCCTCCCCACACATAGGTGGTACCTAATTCTCCTACTTGACAGATGCAACTGTCTTTCGGGTTGCAAAGGTCGACGACAAGCTACACAATTGGTCAGAAGCTCACTCCGATGTGGGCTGGCTTCAAACTCATGACCTTTTGGTCAGAAGGGATCTTAATGATGTTACCTCTATGCAGATGATGTCCAGATCTGTCACCAAGGAGGCTGTCCAGACCTTGAACCGGTGTTTAGCCGCTGTGTCGGACTGGATGAGAGCTAACAAATTGAAATTAAATCCAGACAAGACAGAGGTCCTACTGGTCAGTCGTAAGGCCGAACAGGGTATAGGGTTACAGCCTGTACTGGACGGGGTTACACTCCCCCTGAAGTCGCAGGTTCGCAGCTTGGGAGTGATCCTGGATTCACCGCTGAGCCTGGAACCCCAGGTCTCAGCGGTGGCCGGGAGAGCTTTTGCGCAATTAAAACTTGTGCACCAGTTGCGCCCGTACCTTGGGAAGTCTGATCTGGCCACGGTGGTCCACGCTCTTGTTACATCCCGAATAGACTACTGCAACGCTCTCTACGTGGGGTTGCCCTTGAAGACTGTTCGGAAACTTCAACTAGTCCAGCGAGCGGCAGCCAGATTGCTCACCGGAGCGACATACAGGGAGCATACCACCCCCCTGCTGTGCCAGCTCCACTGGCTGCCGGTTCAGTTCCGAGCACAATTCAAGGTGCTGGTCTTGACCTATAAAACCCTGTACGGTTCCGGTCCACTGTATCTGTCCGAACGTATCTCCCGCTACGTCCCACCTCGGAGCTTGAGATCATCTGGGGAGGTCCTGCTCTCGACCCCACCACTCTCACAAGTGAGGCTGGTGGGGACGAGGAGCAGGGCTTTCTCAGTGGTGGCCCCTCACCTGTGGAACTCACTCCCCGGGGAAATCAGAGCATCACCATCCCTCCTCTCCTTCAGGAGGAGGGTGAAAACTTGGTTATGGGACCAGGCCTTTGGGCAACCAGGCAATTAAAGACTAGCAGGATGGACGAAATGGTACTAAAAAACGGATCTATGAGACAGCAAACACTGACAATGTAAGGGAGGAATCTAGGTTTGTATTGATTTTCTTGATTTTTATTGGAATAATGCATGAAGATGTTAGTAATTGTGAATTTTATTGTAAGTTGAGATGATTGTTGTGATGCAGGCATCTAATCGTGCCTTTACTGTGTAAGCCGCCCTGGGTCCCCTTCGGGGTGAGAAGGGCGGGGTAAAAGAACCCCAAATAAATAAATAAATAAATAAATAAATAAATAAATAAATGCAGCTGACTCCCAGCCAGCTGCGCCACAGTCCCGGTGGCATAATAAAACAGCATAATAAACAGTCAATATAAATAGATAAAACATCTCATTAGCGTCTCATAATTAAAATCCAGATCCAGTCTCATCATCCAATTGTTCCATGTTCCTATGTTTGTTAAACCGCCTATTCAAATGCCTGCTCGAACAACCAGGTCTTCACTGTCAACATTCTGTAGGAATGCTCCACACAAAAATCATCAGTGCAACATATTTACACAGTCTTGTAATAAACATAACATAAACATCTTCTAAGCAGAAAATGGGAAATCTAAACAACCTGGAGTAAATAGCCATTTCACCATCAGCATCTCCTGCTGGAACTCCACGCTGGGGAAACAGAACTCCAGCAGCAGCCCACCGGAAATCCAGCACCCACCGGAAATCCAGCACCCACCACACTGTATTCAAAAAACTCAAACAGTTCTAGCTCCTTGGGCTTGGCACAAGATTCCTGCTTGACCTACTTAGTCAGCCGAACAAGATAATTACAAACAATAAGGTTTTTCTTCACACATAGACTTGTGTCCTGCAAAGATAGAGGTATGTGTCGGCATTTTTCCAACTTCGTCATCCTGGTGGTTATGCTTGATTCTAGCCACAGGAGGGAGCTGTTGCTTCATTCTCTATGACAGTGGTTCTCAACCTTCCTAATGCCACGACCCCTTAGTACAGGTTCCCACATTGTGGTGACCCCCAACCATAATGTTATTTTCGTTGCTACTTCTTTAATTTTGCTACTGTTGTGAATCGTAATATAAACATCTGATATGCAGGATGTATTTTCATTCACTGGACCAAATTTGGCACAAATACCCGAAACGCCCAAATTTGAATACTGGTGGGGTTGGAGGGGATTGATTTTGTCATTTGGGAATGTTGGAATTGCTGGGATTTATAGTTCACCTAAAATTAAAGAGCCTTTTGAACTCCATCAATGATGGAATTGAATCAAATTTGGCACACAGAATTCCCATGGCCAAGATAAATACTGGGAGAGTCTGGTGGACACTGACCTTGAGTTTTTGGAGTTGTAGTTCACCTATATCCATAGAACACTGTGGACTCAAACAGTGATGGATCTGGATCAAACTTGGCACAGATAATCAATATACCCAAATGTGAACACTGGTAGAGTTTGGAGAAAATAGACCTTGCCATTTGGGAGTTGTAGTTGCTGGGATTCATAGTTCACCCACAATGAAATAGCGTTCTGAACCCCACCAATGATAGAATTGGACCAAACTTCCCACGCAGAACACCCATGACAAAGAGAAAATACTATGTTTTCTGATGGTCTTTGGTGACCCCTCTGACACCCCCTCGCGACCCCCTCAGGGGTCCCGACCCCCAGGTTGAGAAACACTGCTCTATGACAACAAGCCTTTTTGATCGCAGACTTTCCTCCTGTTCTTTGATCGCAGGCGTCTGGGTTTTTTTTTTTTTTATGGTGCTGTAAAATCTGTGCCTCATTTCTCTACTCACCGCGCAGAGCTATTTTCAAACTGCTTAGGTGGACAGTTTATTTATTTATTTGTCGTGTCAGAGCAACCAGCCCATTATATTACATTTCTAACAGAACAAAGCAAACAAACAGACAAAATAAAAAAAAACTTGTGAGTTTGGTAGTTGCTTAAATGTCCTTTGACCAGTCTCTGGCCACTTGGAGTGCTTCTGGTGTTGCTGAAAGAAGGTCATCTCCATTGTGCATGTGGCAGGGCTCAGGGTGCATTGCAGCAGGTGGTCAGTGGTTGGCTCTTCTCCACCCTCGCCCCATTTCTGAAGGTTGGCTCTGCATCTCGTGGTGCCAGAGTGCCGTCTGTTCAGCGTCTTCCAAGTCGCCCCGTCTTCTGTGTGCCCAGGAGGGAGTATCTCATTTGGTATCAGCCATTGGTTGAGGTTCTGGGTTTGAGCCTGCCACTTTTGGACTCTCGCTTGCTGAGGGGGATCATGAGAGAAGCCTCCTCGCAGGATTGCAAGACATCCGGGCGTCCCCTGGGCAACGTCTTTGTAGACTGCTGATTCTCTCGCCACAGAAGCAACCAGCATGCAAGGTGGACAGTAAGGTGTGCTGAAGGTTGGGTGCTCACCCCAACCCAGGCTTCGAACTGCCAGCCTTTTGGTTGGGAAAGATCTATTGTTGCTGGTGATTAACTGATGGAGAAAAGGAAGGGGCCTGAGTCTGTGAGGAACGACAAAGTTGGGAAAATACCGACACATACCTCTATCGATCCTCGCAGGACACAAGTCTATGAGTGAAGAAAAACCTTCTTGTTTGTAATTATCTTGTTCAGCTGACTAAGTCGGTCAGGCAGCAATCTCGTGCCACGCCCAAGGGGCTAGAACTGTTTTGAGTTCTTTGAATACAGTCTGGTGGGTGCTGGATTTCTGGTGGGTGTTGGATTTCTGGTGGGCTGCTGCTGGAGTTGTGTTTCACCAGCGTGGAGTTCCATCAGGAGATGCTGATGGTGAAAAGGAAGGGGCCCGAGTCTGTGAGGAATGGTGGGAGTTAGTGCATGGGAGTCAGTGCATGGGGGTCCACTCACCCCCCCCCCCCCCCCCCCCCCACAGATGGTGCAGAGGCTGGTCTTCCCCTTCGGCCGCCTGGACTACCGCCCGTCCAACCACCTGGAGCTCTTCCCGCGGCTGGTGGGGTCCCTGGGGCAGGCGGGCCACTCCCCCTCCCCACTGGCCACCCTCAATGTCCTGCTGTCCCTCTGCCAACTCCAGTTCTGGCCCCCGGACGCCCTCCTCCAAAGGGTCTTCTCCCCTGCCTTCCTGGCCGACGTCACTGGTGCGTCTGGGGAAGGGGAAGGGGGAGCCAAGAGGGTGGGGGTGCTTTGGGGCGGCTTGTTGTGACACCCCCTCTCTCTGCCCCTTCCACCCCCCCCCTGCTTCCCCCCTTTGGCCAGGCAGCCCCTGTGGGGCCATCGCGCGGCGCTACCTCTCCCTGCTGGACACGGCAATGGCGCTGGAGGTCCCGGGGTACGACGGGCCCCGGCTGGACCCCCGCTTCTGCGTCCGGATGTTTGACGGGGCCCTGACCGCAGATGACGCCAACCGGAAGTACAGGTGGGTGACGACTGGAGGGAACGAGATCAGGAAAGGCACCTGACTTGAGTTGATCTCTAAGGCTGATCATGTTAAATATATTTCCACACGTACTAAAGAAATGTCTGATTTGTTGCATCCCGCTCTCGTTCTGTAAGTGTCGAGAAATCCTCCCACGCATTTGGGGATTTGGCCTCTTTGGAGTTGGTTGGGGGAGTGCCTTTGAGGGGCGAAGGGAGCCCTTGGTGGCCCAATGGGTCAAATCCTTATGCTGGCAGGACTGCTGACCAAGAGGTCAGTGGTTCAAATCCGTAGGAGGGGGGTGAGCTTCCTCTCTCAGCTCTAGCTTCTTATGCAGGACACGTGAGAAGCCTTCATTGTCACTGTGATTGTGTTTACTGTAATTTTATATTATTATGCATTCATATGTTTTATGTAATTATGATGTTTTTTGTTTTTGTTTTTGTTTTGCTGTAACTTGTTGTTTGGGCTTGGCCCCATGTAAGCTGCCCCGAGTCCCCTTTGGGGAGATGGTGGCGGGGTATAAATAAAGATTATTATTATTATTATTATTTAAAAGGATTTCTTTTTGTCGTGTCAGGAGCGACCTGAGAAATTACAAGTCGCTTCTGGTGTGAGAGAATTGACTGTCTGCAAGGACGTTGCCCAGGGGATGCCTGGATGATTTGATGTTTTTATCATCCTTGTGGGAGGCTTCTCTCATGTCCCCTTTGCATGAGGAGCTGGAGCTGATAGAGGGAGCTCACCCGCCTCTCCCCGGATTCGAACCTGCGACCTGTCGGTCTTCAGTCCTGCCGGCAAAGGGCTTGAACCCACTGCGCCACTGGGTTAAACCCAGGATGGTCAAATATTAAACACCCTCAGGGCATCCCCTGGGCAATGTCCTTGCAGACAGGTAATTCTCTCACACCAGAAGCAACTTGCAGTTGCAAGTTGCTCCTCACACACACACTCACACACTCATACACACGCACACATACGCAAATAGGGACATGGCTTGCAGCTCAAGGTGTCGCTTGGGCCCAAATAATAATAATAATAATAATAATAATAATAATAATAATAATAATAATAGATAAAACTTTATTTAAACCCTGCCTCCATCTCCCCCAAGGGGACTCGGGGCGGCTTACATGAGGCCACGCCCATCAATACAGTAAACACAATATAACACAACAGAAAGTCAGAAAATAAAATACATAAGATGCAAAACCAATATCAATAAGCGACACCGCAGCATAAAATCAAACATTAAATCACAAATGATCACACTGGGTAGGGCCAAATTTTTGATGGAGTGAGGGGCTCTGGAGGGACAGCCTCCCAGGTCGCCCTCTGATCTGACCCTGCGAAGCCCCAGGACAGGAGGGCTGCTTTGTGTGGAGGGCCCCAACTGCAGCAGGAACTGTATGGCTATCTGTCAGGAGGGTTTGGACTGTGTCTTTCCACCTGGCAGAAGGGGTTTGCATGGGATAGCCCTTGGGGGTCCCTTCCAACTCGGGGATGCTGCGATTTCTGGAAACACCCAGGCTATATATATATATATCTATATAAATAAAAATGTAATGTTCATTTGTGGGATGAACATAACTCAAAAACCACTGGGCGAATTGACACCAAATTTGGATACAAGACACTTAACAACCCAATGTATGTCCTTCACTCGTAAAAACACTGAAAAACACACCAGAAGAGACTTAAGAAGCCAAAAAAACAAAAAATAACATTACAATGCATGCACAAAACCACACACACACACATATATACATATACACAGATATATACACATGCAAAACACATACACAGACAGCTAGTAATATATATACTAGCTGTTTTTATTGTTTATTGCTTTTGTTTTATTGTTTAATTTGCTTTAAATTATGTGTTTTGTTGTGTTGTTGTTTTATTGAGGCCTTGGCCTGTGTAAGCCGCATCGAGTCCTTCGGGAGATGCTATACACACACACACACACACACCTGCCTTAGGACCACCAGGCCCTTTTGGGAGGGGCCACACACCTGCCTCCCCCCCCCCTTTGTTCTTGGTCCTCCTTGTCCTGCTGATGACCCCCCCCCCTTTTTTCCCCTCTCTGCAGCTTCAAAGGCCTGGTGGGAGAGGGGCTGCAGTGCCTGGTGGGCCGGGACCGTTTCCAGCAAGACGTGGTGGTGCCCCCGGGGTACGGCGTAGGTGGGTCAGGGGGGAGCCTGAATGGCGTCTGTCCTTTGGGCGAGGGGGGGGGGGGGGGTGAAGATTGCAGAGCCCCACAAACAAATCCCCCCAAAACAGGGCCATCCTGCCTTGCAACTCAAAGGCCCCCTTTGTCCGCCATGCCTTCCAATTCCCCTCCATGTAAGGAAGCGAGCCCTTCAGTTGCCCAAACCTTAAAATATTTATAGGCTGCCCCGTAAGCCATCCTTTCCAAGTAAAGCCCTCGAACGCAAGTGTAAAGTGGGCTTTATGGAACCTTTTCCCTGCAACTATTTTTAGCGGATAGGGAGCTTTGCGGGGATTGTTTACATTGCTTGCCTCCTCTTGCCTAGCTGAGTCCCCCAACCCCGGAGTGCAATGTCACCACCACTTTTCTCCAGGCCGTTGCGCTCTCCTTGTTCTGCCTGGAGGGGAGGGGGTTGCTCCTGAGCATGTGCAAAGTGCCCATTTTTATCCCCCCCCCCCCGCAAATGTACCTTTTCATCGCCATCTCATCCAGTGTTTTATCATTTTATGTCGTGCATTTGGCCTGCCCGCTGTGTTTTATTTTCCATTATGTTATTTTGTACTGTGTATTTTACTTGATTGGTTTATTTATTTTATTGTGATGTTGTTTTGTTGTTTAGACCGGATGTGATGTTGTTTTGTTGTTTAGACCCTAAGATCTTCTGGAGAGTCCCTGCTCTCTATCCCACCGGCTTCCCAAGTGCGGCTGGCGGGAACGAGAGACAGGGCCTTTTCTGTGGTGGCCCCTCGGCTTTGGAACACCCTCCCTATAGAGATACGATCAGCCTCTTCGCTGATGGTGTTTCGGAAGAGATTAAAAACATGGTTGTGTAAACAAGCATTCGGTTAGTTTGTTATCACCGAATTTTATGGACTAAGGACTGGTTAATTATGGATGACGAATTCTGGACTGTGATTTTAGTGACGAGATACATGGTATTATTATTGGTGGCCCAATAATTTGTATTGTCTATGTGTTGTTGTTTTAAATTGTATATTGTTTTTAATTGTTGTAAACCGCAATGAGTCGCCGACTTAGGCTGAGATATTAGCGGTATACAAGTGTATTAAATAAATAAAATAAATAAAAATAAATAAATATTTTGTTGCTGTATTGTATCTTTGGGCCTGGCCTCATGGAAGCCGCTCCGAGTCCCCTTTGGGGAGATGGTGGCGGGGGATAAATCAAGATTATTATTGTTATTATTATTATTATTATTATTATTATCATCTAGCTTGGGGACCCAGCACTGCCCGGGTTATTTGAGATAGACGTTGTGTATCAAGTTTGGTCTTTATCAGTTATTTATATGGCTCGCAGTGTTCTCAGGAAGTGAGTGAAAGTACTGCGAGTCCCATCATCTGTGGTCCATCCTCCTCCAAACAGCACTGGGATGTAGAGTGGGTCAAGGGGGCTCTGTGTGCCAAGTTTGGTCTTGATTGGTCATTAGATGAGGGTTGCAACAGTCTTGGGTAGGGAGTGGAGGTACCTGAAGTCCTATCATCCATGGTCTGTCCCCTTCAAAAGTGCACCAGGATATAGAATGGGTCATGGGGCTCTGTGTACCAAGTTTGGTCTTGATCAGTCATTAGATGAGGGTTGCAGCAGTCTTGCGTAGGGAGTAGAGGTATCTGAAGTCCCATCATCCATGGTCTGTCCTCCTCGAAAGTGCACCATGGGGGCTCTGTGTGCCAAGTTTGGTCTTGATTGGTCATTAGATGAGGGTTGCAGCAGTCTTGGCTAGGGAGTGGAGGTACCTGAAGTCCCATCATCCATGGTCTGTCCTCCTCGAAAGTGCACCAGGATATAGAATGGGTCATGGGGCTCTGTGTGCCAAGTTTGGTCTTGATCGGTCTTTGTTGGGGGCCACAGTAGTCTGTGGGAATCGAAGGGTTGGAAAGTACTACAAATCCCATCCATTGTCCAGCCTCCCCCAAACCTCGAGGGCACATTAAGAGGGTCATGGGGGTTATGTTTGCTAAGTTTGGTCTTGATCAGTCATTGGATGAGGATCGCAGCAGTCTCGGCAAGCGAGTGGAGGTACCTCAAGTCTCATCATCCATGGTCCACCCTCCAGTAGGACGTAGAGTGGGTCATGGGGGCTCTGTGTGCCAAGTTTGGTCTTTATTGGTCTTTGTTGGGGACCACTTTTCTCCTGGCCGTTGTGCTCTCCTTTCTGCCTGGAGTAGAGGAAGTTGCTCCTGAGCATGTGCAAAGTGCCTCTTGACCGTCTAGGTCTCTGGAGCGGCATCCTAGCCCCCCCCCCACCCCCAATTGCAGTCCTTATTTTCCAACAGCAACAGGCTCCTATCCTTCCTCTTCCATAGATTTCCTGCTCCGGGTCTCCTCTTCTTCAGGGCAAGTGCTTCCCTTGGGTGGTCCCACCAAGGCCGTGGCTGAGCGGGAGACCCCCGAAAAGAAGGGCCCGTGTATTCTGGGGGTCTTTCCCGAAGGCTCTACTACCGAGGGGACCTTGCAAAATAAGCACCCACTAGAGGAAGACCAATCTCACAGGTGTCCAGGGGAAAGGTGGGGCGGGAGGTGGGGGACAGGACATATTTGCAGTGGGACCCCCCCAGCTCTTTCCTTGTCCTGTGGGGAGGGAGCCAGCTTTGGGGCCAGAATCCCAATAGGGGTGGAAAGGTTGTGGGTCTGTTCCCTCCTGGTGGGGAGGGGTCACTGGTGGCAGCTCACCCCACCACCCCAAACTGACCCCCAACCCAATTCCAGGGGGGACTGGACATATTTGCAGCGGGACCCCCTAGCTCTTTCCTTGCCCCTCTTCTGTGGGGAGGGGGGCACTGGTGGCAGCTCACCCCACCACCCCAATCTGACCCCCAACCCAATTCCAGGGGGGACAGGACATATTTGCAGCGGGAGCCCCCTAGCTTTTTCCTTGCCCCTCTTCTGTGGGGAGGAGGCACTGGTGGCAGCTCACCCCACCACCCCAAACTGACCCCCAACCCAATTCCAGGGGGGACAGGACATATTTGCAGCGGGACCCCCCTAGATCTTTCCTTGCCCCTCTTCTGTGGGGAGGGGTCACTGGTGGCAGCTCACCCCACCACCCCAAACTGACCCCCAACCCAATTCCAGGGGGGACAGGACATATTTGCAGCGGGACCCCCCCTAGCTCTTTCCTTGCTCCTCTTCTGTGGAGAGGGAGCCTGTTTTGAGGGTAGAATCCCAATAAGGATGGAAAGATTGTGGGTCTATTCCCTCCTAGTGGGGAGGGGTCACTGGTGGTGGCTCACCCCACCACCCCAAACTGACCCCCCACCCAATTCCAACAGGCTGGTGCTGTCCGTCAACGACAAGTGGCACTACTGCCGCAACTCGGGCGTCTTGGTGGGCTCCCGGTCCATGCGGATGCGGCATCTGCGCCTCCTGGGCTTCCGGCTCCTCCAGGTGAGACCCCAACCCCTCCATTCTGGCTGTGGGGAGTGGGGCATGGCAGAGAAATAGAAGAAGAGGGGGTCTCACTGGCTTTGTGTCCCCCCCCCCCCTTTGCATCAGCTGCCATATTGGGAGCTGGAGAGACTGCACGGCCTGGAGGAGACCCGGCAATACCTGCACCAGAAGCTGAAGGAGGAGGCCCAGCCCTGAGCGGAAGGAACAGGTGGATCTCCCTTTGAACAACCCCCCTCTTAATATTTCCCCCAAATTGAATGAAGCGTGTGAGGGGTGCAGGCAGGCTCTTGGCTTTATTGGCGCTGCTCCCCCCCTCCCCAAATCTGCCATGCGTCCAAAGCCCAGCCTCTGCCCGGGGTCTCCGGGGTCCGGTCCTCTGTCGGTTCCTGCGCAGTCTTTCCTCTCTTTTCCCGGAGACCCCCCCCCCCCAAAGTGGTCCTGGCAGGAGGGGAGGGGCATGCCTCACCCCGCCCGGGCGACAATAAAGCTATTTATTGACACTTTTAAATAGTCTCTTAAATAAAATCACGCCGTTGCCATTTTCGGGGAGCAGTAGGCTTGAAGTCTCTTCAGAAGAGGGTTGAGTCTGTGTGCCCCTCCCCCTCTTTGGCCTGGAGGGTGGGCGGGGGAGGGGCTGCTGGTCAGTGTGGGCGGGGTATTCAGGCGGGCATCATGGTGGCAACAGAGCGGGGGCCGTGGCGTGTTCCTCGGGGTGGAGGCGGGCCTCCCGAGGGTTCGGACGGATGGACGGACGCTGGAAGGAAGGCACTCGGTGGTGGCGTTGGGGGGGGGCGCGGTGGGGGCACAAGCCATGGGCTCCGTCCAGACCACAGGGAGCCGCTCCGGCCCCTTCCCTGGCACTCTGGCCGCACTCTCCATGACCCATCAGACTGGCATCGGCATCTCGTGGTACTCATCCAGCCCGGTCCTCGGGTCCAGGATGGGTTCGGCCTCGGCTGCGTCCAGCTGTGGGGGGTGAGGGTGAGGGTCAGCAGGTGGCCCCATGGAGCGCTACAGGACCCCTCTGACCAACGTGGCCAAGGCCGCTAACCCCAACCTGGTTTCGGGCTTCCCCGCAGGGCCGTGAAGGGGCGGCACTTACACACTTGAGCTCCCTCTCGGTGAAGATGCGGCTGAGGACGCACAGGCGGAGCGGGACGGTGAGGATGAGGATGAAGGGGAAGGCCAGCGAGGCCACGGTCGACATGACGGACCACAGAATCGCCAGGCAGCTCAGCTGCAGGAGGGTGTACATGTGCATGCGCACCGTCCGCACCTGGTGAGGGGGTGGGGGATGAGAGCAACACAACCCATTGAGCAACACAACCCAAGGAGGACATTCACCAGGCTGGGACCACCCAAAGGCCTGGAAGCCATGAATCCCTTTGCAAAGTGACTGAGGGAGTTGGAATTGTTGAGCCTGGAGAAGGGACGGTCTCAATATTGGGAGGGAGGCCCCACTGAGAGAGAATCGGCTTGCTCCTTGACGCTCTGGAGATGAGGACACCACGGAGGCATTGGTTCCAATGGCAGGAAAAGAGATGCCAGAAGTATTAAAAATTAACTGGGTATTTTTTAATTACAAAAACGTGAGTCAAGCACTGAAAGAGTGAGTAAACACGAGGCTTCTCTCACACTGAGGTTTACCTCAGTCTTCTCAGGACGACACTAGCTTTGGCCACAGACTCTAACAGGCGAGTCAGTGGCCAAAGCTAGTGTCGTCCTGAGAAGACTGAGGCGAACCTCAGTGTGAGAGAAGCCTTGTGTTTAAAGCTCCAGTATGAAGGCTGCTGTATATTTCTTTATTTGTGTGTGGAAACTTAATTATTGTAAGCAGTGCAACGATATTATTTTATGACAAATAAAAGCCTCCTATGGAAGAGACAACATTGGTCTGTGTGTTTGTGTTTACGAGGAGGGTTTTGTGTTATTAAGGCGATTCGCCCCAAAAGAGTCCAACTGTTAGGGTCCTGTCTGGAAGCAGAATATGCTATTGGCTTGGAACCTAGGGGAGTGTTCTGCTCTGGGTGCTTCTACGCAGAGGCTGGATGGCCATCTGTGGGGAGGGCTTGGAAGGTGTCTACCTACCCGGCAGGAAAAACAGGGTTGGACTGGATGGCCCTTGGGGTCCCTTCGGTCAGAAATATTAAATATTAACTGGGTATTTTTGAATACAAAAGTGTGAGTCAAGCACCAAAAGAGTGAGTAGGCCGAAGCCTGTTAGAGTCAGTGGGCCAAAGTTAGTGTCGACCTGAGGAAAGTGAGTAGGCCGAAGCCTGTTACTCAGTGGGCCAAGCTACTGTCATTCTGAGGAGAGTGAGTAGGCCGAAGCCTATTAGTCTGTGAGCCAAAGCTAGTGCTGCCCTGAGGAGAGTGAGTAGGCTGAAGCCTATTAGTCAGTGAGCCAAAGCTAGCGTTGCCCTGAGGAGAGTGAGTAGGCCAAAGCCTGTTAGAGACAGTGGGCCAAAGTTAGTGTCGTTCTGAGGAGAGTGAGTAGGCCAAAGCTACTGCAATCCTGAGGAGAGTGAGTAGGCTGAAGCCTGTTAGAGTCAGTGGGCCAAAGCTAGTGTCTCCTGACGAGAGTGAGTAGGCCGAAGCCTATTAGAGTCAGTGTGCCAAAGCTAGTGTCTCCTGAGGCGAGTGAGTACAGTTCATTAATTGCAATGATTTTTTATCTGTGTTAAATGTTTTTAATGTTTAAATTATTTTTGTCCTGTTGTGGGCATCGAATTGTGCTGTTTTGTAAATCGCCATGAGTCGCCTTCGGGCTGAGAATGACCGTTTAGAAGCATAGTAAATAAATAATAAACAAATAGGCTGAAGCCTGTTAGAATCAGTGGGCGAAAGCTAGTGTCGTCCTGAGGGGAGTGAGTAGGCCGAAGCCTGTTAGTTAGTGGGCCAAGGCTAGTGTTGTGCTGAAGAGTGTGAGGTAAACCTCAGTGTGAGAGAAGCCTCGTATAAGAAAGCTCCAGTATGAAAACTGCTTTGTGTACAGCTACACGAATTGAATGCTGAATTGAACTTGGATGCAACTAGATTGTTGTTAATAATGTTTTCAATTGATATTTTATAATTTAATTTTGCAATTGAATGTTTTAATTAATGCTTAACTTGTTTCATATTGTTTTGTTGCATATGTCGGCATTGAATTGTTGCCGGTTGTAACCCGCCCTGAGTCCCCCCTCGGGAGTCGAGGAGGACGGGGTACAATTGCTTGAAATCAATCAATACATAAAAATACTAAGTATTTGATTATTTGTATTATGGAGAACATGTTGTTGTAAATAGTGCAACCATATTATTTTACGACAAAGAAAAGCCTCCAAAGGAAGAGATGACACGGGTCTGTGTGTGTTTGTGTTCTTTTCCTCACTTGGGGGTCCTGGTCCTGGGTCACACTGCTGCTAACGAGTTCCTCTGCTGTGCATTTATGGGGAGGGGGCTTTTGTTCTGAAGCCCACTCACCCAACACCTTCCACCTCTACAATGGGGTAGTGCCCTCAGACCAGGGTCAGCGCCCTCGGGGAAAAGGTCAGAGCAGAGGACGGGCGGACAGAGGACCCTCCTTCCAGCCCACCCACCCACTGACCCACCCACTCGCCCCCCAGCAGAGCCTCCCTTTGCGATACCTTCTTGACGTAGCAGTCGTCCGGGTGGTGCTTGGGGGGCATCAGCAGCAGCTTGAGACGCTCATAGAACTGGATCCCGTTCAGCGAGGTGATCCCCATGTAGAGGAAGATCCCAAAAAGCACGGCCAGCGGGATCTTGCGCAGGAGGTCGCTGATCACAATGGACAGGCCTAGACGGGGAGGGGGAAGAAGAAGCCATGGGGTGGCTAAAGGGGTCTGTCGGGCAGAAGCGGCCTAGCCCCCTCCCCACTTTTGGCTCTCCTGGCTGTGCCCTTGCAGGGGAATCTGCCAAAGTGACCCGGTCATTGGGGGGTTGTGTGGAGGCTCACCGACGAGGAAGGCCACCAGGAAGCCGGTGACGCGCTGCTCCTTGACCTCCTGGACCTTGGGCTTGTCCCCGGGGGCCACGGCTTTGCTCATGACGGTCAGGGCGTTGGTGTGGGTGACGGTGCGCACGGTGGCCGCGGTCAGCCAGGGGAGGCCGAAGAGGGCACAGAGGCCGCCCAAGGCCACGATGATCAGCAGGTCCAGGTGGAAGCCCGAGCCCTTGCGCAGCTTACGCTCCTTCTTGCTGATGATCAGCCTGAAGAGGAAGAGGAAGAGGAAGAGGAAAAGGGGGGCCTTGGAGAGGGGGCCCCTCCGGCATCACCCACCCCCTCCGTCACATTGGAAGGGACGCTCATCCAAAGGGACCCCTGTCAGAAATATTACATACTAACTGGGTATTTTTGATTACAAAAGTATGAGTCAAGTACTGAAAGAGTGAGTAGGCCGAAGCTAGCCTTGTCCTGAGGAGAGCAAGTAGGCCAAAGTATGTTAGAGTTAGTGGGCCAAAGCTAGGGCCGTCCTGAGGAGACTGAATGAGTAGGCCGAAGCCTGTTAGTGATCCAAAGCTAGCGTCATCCTGAGGAGAGCGAGTAGGCTGAAACATGTCAGAGTTAGTGGGCCAAAACTAGTGTCGTCTTGAGGAGAGTGAGTGAGTAGGCCGAAGCCTGTTAGTGATCCAAAGCTAGCGTCGTCCTGAGGAGAGAGAGTAGGCCGAAGTCTGTTAGAGTCAGTGGGCCAAAGCTAGTGTCGTCCTGAGGAGAGCGAGTAGGCTGAAACATGCCAGAGTTAGTGGGCCAAAACTAGTGTTGTCTTGAGGAGAGTGAGTGAGTAGGCCGAAGCCTGTTAGTGATCCAAAGCTAGTGTCGTCCTGAGGAGAGTGAGTGGGCCGAAGCCTGTTAAGAGTTAATGGGCCAAAGCTAGTGTCGTCCTGAGGAGTGTGACTAGGCTGAAACATGTCAGAGTTAGTGGGCCAAAACTAGTGTTGTGAGTGAGTAGGCCGAAGTCTGTTAGTGTTACAAAGCTAGCATTGTCCTGAGGAGAGTGACTAGGCTGAAGCCTGTAGAGTCAGTGGGCCAAAGCTTGTGTCATCCTGAGGAGAGCGAGTAGGCCGAAACCTGTTAGAGTTAGCGGGCCAAAGCCTGTTAGGAGTTAGCTGGCAAAAGCTAATGTCATCCTGAGGAGAGTGACTAGGCCAAAGTCTGTTAAGAGTCTGTGAGCCAAAGCTAGTGTAGTCCCCAGGAATGTGAGGTAAACCTCTGTGTGAGAGAAGCCTCATGTGAGAAAGCTCCAGTGTGAAGGCTGTTGTGTGAAACGCTACTGTGTATTTGTTTATTTGTGTTATGGAAACTTTGTTCTTGTAAATAGTGCAACCATATTATTATTTATTTATTTACGACATTTATATGCCGCCCTTCTCACCCCGAAGGGGACTCAGAGCGGCTTACAAGGTATATACATACAATATATTATTAACATAGTACAATATCAGTTTTAAATATTGCTAATTGCACAATATCAATTATACTGTAATATTATTATTAGTAGTATTATATTGCATTACATTACAATATTATAAATATTATATATTATATATTATATATTATTTTGCAATAGGGAAAAGCCAACATTGGTCTGCACGTTTTGATCTTTTTGTCACTTTGGGCTCCTGGTCCTGGGTCACGCTGCTGCTGCTAAGTTACTCTGCTGTCTATTTATGGGGAGGGGCCCTCTCGTCCAACAACCCCCCCCCCCCCAAAGCCCTTCTTACGTGGTGATCTGCGTCTCCATGAAGATGAGGATGAAGACCAGCATGGCCGGGAGCCCGCAGCCCACCATCATCCAGACGGGGAAGGGGTCCACCTGGCCCAGAGGGTTGATCACCCAGCCCCGCTTGTCGGGGTCCGTGACGGAGAGGCCCCGCGGCACCGACAGTTTCTGTGGGGGGGGGGGGATGAAAATAGTCACGGTCCGGACGGTCATATCTTTGTCCTGTTGGCCACTGGGGTGGGCTCTCTGCGCAACAGCTAAAGAAAGGCGCATGGCTGTGCATGGGACGCACGTTTTCCGGCAGGTGGGTTTTCCAGGTGGGCAACAGGCCAAAGCAGGCAGCAAAGCCACCCGAATGGCCCCTGCTGGACTTCCATGCTTCCCCTTCCAGCCAGGAAAGAGGCTTGGCCCAATTGCAGGACAGTGTGGTCTCAGTGACATGAAGGGAGCCTTCAGCCAAGGACAACTTGGGGGCCCACCTGCCCAATTCCCTCCCCCCTCGAAAGGCCTCAGGGCCCCTCACCTGGGTGTAGGTGTCCTGGATGCTGTAGTCCAACAGCACCATGAGCAGGATGGCAATGGGCACCCCGAAGTCGCCAATCACCCGCCGGACCTGCCCAGAGAGACCTGCTCAGCCACAGACCGCCCCCGTCCCCCCGGCCAAAGCGCACCAAGCCCCTCTCCGGCAAAGGCGGCCTCCTCTCCCCACGACCAACCGACCGCTCTCAGGCCGGGCTTGTCTCCTCTGCACCTCTGTGACGGCGACAAAGAGCCCCTGAGCATGAGTGGAACTCCCCCCCCCCCCAAAATCCAGCATGGGGCCTCCTCCCTTCTGCATCATGACCACACTCTCCAGCCCCTCCCTTGACCCCCGGCCCTTGTTTCTGCCTCGGGCCACGCACCCGGCCTGGGAAGAAGCGGCTGTTCTTGAACTTGCGCAGGAAGAAGGCGATGAAGAAGGTGCCGGCCATCAGCACCAGGGAGAGCAGGGCCGTGTTGGGCTGGCCGGTCAGTTCGCCCACAAACGTCTGGTTGCCGACGGTCCAGTTCCCGTACAGGTCCAGGGAGCGGTCCGTGTCGTTGGGCACGATGCAGTTGTTCAGGGGGTGCTCCTGGAAGATCTGCCCGAGGGGAGGAGGGTTCGCTAGCCTTTCGGGCGAGGAGGGGGCTCTGCGGAGGGCTCTCTCCAGCCACTTCAGCCCCCTCCCTTGCCCTCCCCACCCCCGTTGCCCACCTTGAACAGCTTGAAGAAGGTCTCGTAGATGAAGATGAGGGAGATGAGGAAGGCAAAGATCTCCTGCGTGAAGCGGGTGACGTAACGCACCATGAAGCTGCCCTCGAAGGCCACTATCAGGACCACGATCACAATCAGCCACAGGCCGATCCAGACGCGGCCCACCAGGTAGTCCAGGCCGTAGGAAGTGCAGAACTGCAGCGGGGGAGAGAAGGTAGGGATATGGTGGGGTGAGGTGGGAGGGGAGAGGGTCAGTCCAACTCCCCCCCCCTCCCCAGGACCCGAGACCCTCCCTCTGGAAAAGCAACATGAGACCTCCATCCTTCCACCCTTCCCCTCCCTTGGGAGGCCCCGGACTCACGGTGTAGAAGGCCTCCTCAAAGACGAGGAGTGGGCCCGAGAAGCCGATGATGAGGAGGGGCTGGGCGCCCAGCAGGCAGAAGATGAGGCCTTGCACCGAGGTGGAGATGATCAGCTCCGAGACCCCAATCAGCCCCTGGGTCTTCTCTCCTGGAGGGAGGGAGGGGGCGGGGTCAATCTTGGCACTCCCTCCCCTCAGTGGATCCACAGGCCCCTCCCCCTCAGCCCCTTCCTCTCCGCCAGCAGACTCACCCAGCAGCCCCCCGAAGGTGATGGCGGGGGATAAGGCCGCGAAGTAGATGAAGATGATGGCGGCCACGCACTGGGGATCCAGCGCGTCCCGGAAGTCGCTCAGGTACTGCGGGTAGCGCCGGCGGATGTCCCGCAGCAGACCCCCGAAGGGGCGGCCCGTCCGGCGGAGGGGGTCCGGCTCCTCGGCCTCCTTCACCGTCAGCTTCAGAAGTGCTGTTAATGGAAGAGAGAAGGGGGTGGGGGTCAGCGCATGACCCCACATCTTTCAGGGAGGCGTCCCATCTGTCAGGATTAATTTAGTTATGTATGTGTTTTTCAGTGTACTTCTATGTATTGCCAAGATGGATGCCACTGTGAACTGAAAATGCCATGCAGAAATGTTTATGCTTTGAGGCTGTGATTAAGTGAATTTGAGAAAAGTAAGATAAGGTTTGTTCTTGCTGAGAACAGAAGGGAGTTGCCAGTCTCAGCAAGAGAAGATAAGCAGGTGTGCAGAGGCTTTCGGTTTTGACTAGTTCTTTGTTGTTCTTCCTGAATTGTAGCTCGCTGTAGAAAGACATGTCTGTTGTATGTACTTAGTAAACTTAGTTTCTTTTGTAACTCAAAGCCTGCAGAGTCCTTATTTTGCAGCTCAGTGTCTGCTTGATCAACCCATTATCTGGTTGTTCCCCCAGAGACCCCCCTGCCCTTTGCAACTGCCCCCCATGAGACTCACTGGGCATAAGAAAGGGGAAGGAGACCTGCATGGAGTGGGAGGAGGAGGAGGAGGGGTCCAGTGACAATCCCCCTCCTCAGCCAATGCAAAGTGAAGAAGCACCAACAGTTGTATATAGAGATGAAGTGGGAAACAAGACAGGAGGCAGGAAGGCTGCTCCCTGTTCCCTAGATCTTGTTAGGGATCTAGGAATATAGCGGAGCACCCAAAACAATATAGCAGAGCACCCAAAAACAAACAGGATACTAAAGTGGAGCATCACCTCACTAGCGAGCAGAGTGTGAAGTGCCTTTGGTTGTGGCTGTAAAGAATTTAGAGCTTAGGAGGTAAACATGTAGAGTCCAAACTTAAAAAATCACGAAAGGTTTATTTACCATAATAAATGGGCCTGGACCAAACTGGGCACACAGGACCCCCAGGACTAACTCAACCTACTGGAGGGGTTTGAGGGGACTGACTCACCATAGTGGGAGCTGTAGTTTACCTTGCAGCCAGAGAGCACACTGACCCCCACCCATGATGCACCTAGAGCAAACTTGCCCAACACAACAGACTTTAATTTCGGGGTTAACCTGGCATGATGGGAGTTGGAGTTCACCCACAACCTTATGCATTTTGTGCAAAAATCTGACTTTTTCAAATAATCCAGGCAATGCCAGGGATGCAAGCTAGCACAACAATAAAACTAAGTTTTCACCCTTTTATGAAAACATTACCAGAGTGTCCTGCACATCTTCTCTCCTGTTTCCTACTCTCAGCTCATATATATATATGTGTGTGTGTGTGCGCGCGCGCGCATGTCCCTAGCTGGGCTGCTCTCTACTCTGCTATAGATACCACATATTCCTACAGAAGGAACCTATCAGCAAATGAGTTGCAGAGCCCCCCCCCCTCCCCCCGATCCCAGGGCCGTTGGGGTTCAATGGCAACGGGGGGGGGGGGGGGGGACAACGGCATCCACAAATCCCCTCACTGCCTTGGAGGCCAGGATCCGCTCCGCTGCCCCCCTTCCTTCTGCGGCCAGAGAAAACTTTTCCTTCCCAGCCGAGGAGTCTCCCAACTGCTGCGCTCGTCTGTTTTGCTGACCTTTTGTCTTTGCGAGGGATTTGTTTTAAATGGTTTAATTGCCTTTTCCGTCAGGCCTTCCTCCTTGTTTTCGCTTGCACCTCTGCCTCGGGGTGTGGTCTGCGCGGCCTGGGTCCCTGCGAGGCCCTTTGGGGTCCCGGCAATGGGCAAAATGCACCTCTGGGGCCCCACAGCAGTGTACAGGCAGCCCCCAAGTTACAAACAAGAGAGGTTCCGTAGGGCTGTTCTTAAGCAAGTCGGAAAAGTTGCATATTTTTCAGCCAAAAATACATTTCTAAAGCTTTACTTTAGTGTTTACACTTCATTTTATTTTTCTGGTTATTTCATATTTAATGTTTATTTTACTTAAGCGATATTTCCCTTTACTGTTCTCATGTAGCACAAATCCTACGTGAAATAATATTGAAATCTGAAATGTATACAGAAAGTCTTTGGAGAGCACAGGAAGTGGTGGAGACCCCTTTGTGGAGTTCCCTTGGCTGCCTGAGCCCCTCTTCAGAAGACTCCGCCTCACTTCCTGTCCCTGGGAGACTTTGCAAAAATTGGCTTGTTGTGGAAGCAAGGATAGAACCATAGGGCTGGAGATAAGGCTTCAGTAAAAGGTCAAGGTCAAGGTTTCCCCTCGACCTTAAGTCTAGATGAGTCCGACTCTGGTGCTCATCTCCATTTCCAAGCCCAAGAGCCGGTTTTGTCCGTAGGCACCTCCAAGGTCATGTGGCCATTGGCATGACTGCATGGAGCACCAATAATAATAATAATAATAATAATAATAATAATAATAATAATAGTAGTAGTGCTTTATTTATATTCCGCTCTATCTCCACAAAGGGACTCAGGGCGGATTCCAAACTCAAAAGGCAAGCATTCAATGCCCGAATACAACAATACATCCATACTAACAAAATTTATACAACCCAACACATAAATACAAATTATAACTTAACAAACTAAAATTAAATAAAAAGCACAGCCTGTTATAACAGACATGACAAAACATCCAAACATCCTTACCTTCCTGAAGAAGCGGTACCTATTGCTCTATTCATATTTGCATGTTTTTGAACTGCTAGGTTGGCAGAAGCTGGAGCTAACAGCGGGAGCTCACCCCACTTCCCAGATTCAAACCGCCAACCTTTTGGTCAGCAAGTTCAGCATCTCAGTGGTTTAACCCACTGTGCCACCCCCTTTTCCCATTATTTACTTTTCTTCTGCTTTTCTCTCACAGATGGGACTCAAAGTGGCCAGCAAAATTAAAAAAAACCTACATAATGCAGAAAAATGTCATTCTCCCAGACCGATATATAAACAATAAATCAACATATTGAATACAATACAAATTACATAAATATAAATAGGCCTAAAAATGATGACATGTATCATTATCATTAAAATCCCTAAGCCTCAGGCCACGGAGGGTGTCCTAAAACATTAAACTGGACATCTCAGAGCTCCAAGTCTTTGGCCACGTGATTCTTGTCTGACCGAGATATGCTGCTATTGTGTGTTGCTTCCACATAAAGGTTTTCACCTGTGAGCGAAAGGCCAGGAAGGAGGGGGCCGAATGCACCTCTTTAGAGAGGGAGTTCCAGAGCTGTGGGGCCACCACCGAAAAGGGCCCCTCTCTCGTTCCCACCAACTGTACTTGCGATGGAGGTGGGACTGAGAGGAGGGCCTCTGCTGGTGATCTCGAGGCTCGTGTGGACTGATCATAACTCTTCCAGGAGTGGATTTCCCTTCCTTCCGAGGGGGAGATTTCTCTCACTTCCTGTTATCTCAGCCTTCTTCTTAACTAGGAGTCATTTGTAAGTCAGATATTTGTAACTTGGGGGTATCCTGTCTGTATATGTAGATAGATAGATAGATAGATAGATAGATAGATAGATAGATAGATGGATGTGTGGGTGAGAGACAGACGCCTGGTGGGGACGAGAGACAGGGTCTTCTCAGTAGTGGCCCCTCGGCTGTGGAACGCCCTTCCTACAGACATTAGATCGGCCCCCTCCTTATTGGTATTCAGGAAGAGAGTGAAGACCTGGCTCTTCTAACAGGCTTTCAACTAAGCAGTACAATTGATTGATTACTGGAATATGGATTAATGGACAACGAGATCGGATGCTGACTCTATTGATGAGACGTGATGGATTGTTGTTTTCCTGTATTGTTGTATTGATGTTCTGATGTTAATTAATTGATATTACTGTTCTAAATGATTAATGATTTTGTACTGTGTTGTTGATACTGGTTGTTAACCGCTCTGAGTCGCCTGATGGCTGAGAAGAGCGGTATACAAGTGAAGTAAATAAATAAATAATAAATAAATAAGATGTAGTATCACAGATGTGGGAGGGGCCTCCAAAGGTCATCGAGTCTAGCTTTGTTCTCAAGTTATAAATATATATTTATATTTTTATACTGTACTAGCCGTCCCCTGCCACACGTTGATGTTGCCCAGTCTGTGTTTATGTGTTTTGTGTGTGAATATATTTGTGTATATTTATTTATTTATTTACTGCATTTGTTGACCGCCGCTCTCAGCCCTGGGGCGACTCGCGGCGGTGTACAACATATAAAAACAGTTTACAAAAGCACACAATATATCAACAAACCATATTACACATTAATCTAATCACATTAACAAATCCGCACCGTCACAACATAGAATCATAGCCAGTCTCATTATCCATAATCCGTTCCAGTTGTCATTACCAGATTCGTGTAGCTCTCAATTAAATGCCTTCTCGAATAGCCAGGTCTTTAGGCTCTTACGGAAAGCCATAAGGGAGGGCGCCTGCCTGATGTCAACAGGGAGGGTGTTCCACAGCCGGGGGGCCACCACTGAGAAGGCCCTCTCCCTCGTCCCCGCCAGACGTGCCTGTGAGGCAGGCGGGATCGAGAGAAGGGCCTCCCCAGACGATCTCAAGGCCCTCGTGGGCTCATAGGCCGAGATGCGGTCAGAAAGGTATTTTGGGCCGGAACCGTTTAGGGCTTTGTAGGCCAACACCAGCACCTTAAATTGGGCCCGGTAGCAGATCGGCAGCCAGTGGAGCTGGGACAACAAGGGCGTTGTGTGCTCCCTGCGTCCCGCTCCGTTAGTAACATGGCTGCCGCGCGCTGGACTAGCTGAAGCTTCCGGGCCGTCTTCAAGGGCAGCCCCACGTAGAGAGCGTTGCAGTAGTCAAGGCGGGATGTGACCAGAGCGTGTACCACCGTGGCCAAGTCAGACTTCCCAAGATACGGGCGCAGCTGGCGCACGAGCCGAAGCTGTGCAAAAGCTCCCCTGGTCACCCCTGTGTATATGTGTATATATGTGGTTTTGCAAATGTGTTATAATGTATTTTTATTTTATTTTTTGGCTTTTTAAGTCTCTTCTGCTGTGTTTTTCAGTGTTTGTCTGAGCGATGGTCACTCGTTGGCCTGATGGGTGTATCGTGTCCAAATATGGTGTCAATTCGTCCAGTGGTATTTGAGTTCTGTGAATATCACAAACGGACATTACCTTTTTATTTATATAGATGTTAACGTTTTTAATAGTACTTCATGATTGTTTTCTTTTCACTTGTTATGATTGTTGAAGCATCGAATTGTCGCCAATTGTGACCCGCTCAGAGCTATCTCTGGGCTGAAATGGATAGTATATAAATATGGCAAATAAAATAAACAAATACATAAATAAGTATGAGCCACTTCTACGTTGGATGATGCCTCCCCCGCTCCCCAACCGGGACCCACCTTTCTCCTCGGGGGACTTGGGCTCGGCCTCGGGCCCCAGGAATATCCTCCGGTCCTGCTCCTCCCTGCGGCGCAGCATCTCGCGCTGGAAGTTGGCCACACTGCGCAGGAGCTCCTCGCCTTGCACCTCGGAGGGCGGCAGCACCACGCTGCAGTCCAGGAACTCGTTGATGGCGTGGAGCAGGTCCTGACGGTCGTCCGCCAGGTAGGCCGCTTCGTGGAATTGCTGGGCGGGGGAGAAACACATAGGGAGGAGGGAGGACTCAGAGAGGTCCCTATCCAGCAAGGCCAATGGGGGGAAAGTTGTGTGCTGGGGGTCTCCCCTACCTTGTCGGACATGAGGGTGGAGATGGAGCGCCCGATCTCGTGGTAGTCCATGTTGGCGCTGGGGGGCCCCAGCAGCACAAAGAGGAACCGGACCGGGATGGGCACCTCCAGCACCGCGTCCAGCTGGGCCGCCTCCTGCAGCCGCACAAAGGCCATGGTGGGCTGGTCCAGGAAGTCCACCGACCCTGGAGGGAGCAAGAGGGGCGCACGCGTGAGGTCATCGCCCTCCCCCGTCCGCCACTACCCCCCCCCCCCATGCGGGCCCCTCCTTACCCACAAGGACCACGGTGGCCTCCGCGTTTTCGGGGATCTTCTCCAGCAGCTTCAGCTCATGCTTGGACTTGGAGCGGGAGATGCTGCTCAGGACAGGAGAAGGGTCCTTCTGTGTTGGGGGGGGGGGACACAAGGGGTCAGCTCCCATGGCCACCATCAGGTCTCATCCGAGTTTGACAGCAGACCACCACCATGGCATCCCTTCCCATTAATGGTTCACTAGCCTGGCTTCCACAAAAGTCAACACTGACACTGAAATACAACACCGCCTGAGCTCTGCGAGTGCAGCATTCTTCTGAATGAAGCAGAGAGTGTTTGTGGACCGGGACATCCGTAGGGAGACCAAGGGGCTTGTTTATACTTTTTATTGTTTATTGCTTTTATGGTTTTTAAATCTATTGTGATGTGATTTTTTTTTGCTTTTAACTGATACATTTTTATATATGGCATCTAATTGTTGCCGATTTGTACGCCACCCTGAGTCGCCTTCGGGCTGATATGTCTCCCATGCTCTTTAACATCTACATGAAACCGCTGGGAGAGGTCATCCGGAGTTTTGGAGTTGGGTGCCATCTCTATGCAGATGACACACAACTCTACTACTCTTTCCCACCTAATTCCAAGGAGCCCCCTCGGGTGCTGGACGGTTGCCTGGCTGCTGTGTCTATCTGGATGAGGAGGAACAAGCTGAAGATCAATCCCAACAAGACAGAGGTCCTCCTGGTCGATTGTAAACCGGAATGGGGTATAGGGTGGCAACCTGTGCTGGACGGGGTCACACTCCCCCTGAAGCCACAGGTCCGCAGTTTGGGAGTCCTCTTGGACTCATCACTTACGCTTGAGGCTCAGGCGTCGGTGGTAGCCGGGAGGGCTTTTGCACAACTAAGACTCGTGCGCCAACTGCGACCGTACCTCGCGAAGGCTGATCTGGCTGGGGTGGTCCATGCCTTGGTCACCTCTAGATTGGATTACTGCAATGCACTCTACGTAGGGCTGCCCTTGAAAACGGCTCAGAAATTCCAGCTGGTCCAACGGGCAGCGGCCAGGATGTTAACCGGGGCTCATTACAGAGAGAGGTCAACCCTCCTGTTTAAGGAGCTCCACTGGCTGCCGTTTATTTTCCGAGCCCAATTTAAGGTGCAAGTGCTGACCTACAAAGCCCTGAACGGTTTGGGACCACCCTACCTGCGTGACCGCATCTCTGTCTATGAACCCACATGCTCTCTTCGGTCATCTGGAGAGGCCCTGCTCGTGATTCCGCCTACGTCACAAGCGCGCTTGGTGGGGACACGAGACAGGGCCTTTTCTGTGGTGGCCCCCCCGACTTTGGAACGCCCTCCCAAAAGATCTTAGACAGGCCCCTACATTGGCAGTCTTCAGAAAGAATTTGAAAACCTGGCTGTTCCAATGTGCCTTCTCAGATTAGGAACCCCAATACCAAGTCCTAGAAGCACTTTAGTAGAACTAAGATCACTGCACACCGCACACCGCACTTACTTTATAATCCTACATGCCTCCCGCCACATCAGCACTTTTAATCCTGTACCCACTACCCCCGGGCTGAGAACAGCGGTATATAAGTAAAGTAAATAATACTCTGGCCAGCCCAGTTTTAATAGCGTCTTGATGTATTGTTACTGTTATTGTTTATTCTACTTAACTGTTTTTAATTTGCTTTAGGTATTGTATGTTGTACTGTGTTTTGAGGCCTCAGCCTATGTGAGCCGCATCGAGTCCTTTGGGAGATGCTAGCGGGGTACAAATAAAGTTATAATAATAATAATAATAATAATAATTTGAGCGGGATAGAAGTGACATAAATAAATAAATAAAAAATAAATTTATAAAGTGATTGTCCTCCCAACCCTGCTCTACGCCTGCGAAACATGGACTGTCTACAGACGTCACATGCAACTCCTGGAACGATTCCATCAGCGCTGCCTCTGGAAAATCCTGCAAATCTCTTGGGAAGAAGACAGGCGGGGAAACATCAGCGTGCTGGAAGAAGCAAAGACCACCAGCATTGAAGCGATGCTCCTCCACCATCAACTCCGCTGGACCAGCCATGTTGTCCGGATGCCCAAAGAATCACCGTTTCCCAAAGCAGCTACTCTACTCCGAACTCAGGAATGGAAAACCAAATGTTGGCAGGCAGGAAAAGAGATTTAAAGATGGGCTCAAAGCCAGCCTCAAAAACTCTGGCATAGACACTGAGAGAGAACTGGGAAGCCCTGGCCCTTGAGCGCTCCAGCTGGAGGTCAGCTGTGACCAGCAGTGCTGCAGAATTTGAAGAGGCACAAATGGAGGGCGAAAGAGAGAAACGTGCCAAGAGTAAGAAGGTGCGTCAAGCCAACCTCAACTGGGACCACCTTCCACCTGGAAACCAATGTCCTCACTGGGGGAGAACATGCAGGTCAAGAATAGGGCTCCATAGTCACGTACGGACCCACCACCAGGTCATATCAATTGGAGGACCATCATCCTTGGACAATGAGGGATCGCCTAAGTAAGTAAGCCTGGCTTACATCATTTAAGCCACGGCTCTCCCGGTGGGAGTAAATGCCCTTGACCGGTCATGCTCCTCCTCCTCCTGTTCAGCCTGTTTCCCAGAAATGGGCCACATCATCCCTCTAGGAATGCATTCCAGGCGTGAGACTCATCCCACCTGGTTTCGGTGGCGCCACTTCCACCCCATTGTCCAACTCATCCTTGCTGGTTAGGACCGGCTCAAAAAGAGCTGACCCCCTCGTTGCCTCGTCCACCTTCGGACTACTAAACTATCCGCAAGGCAAGGGGAGGATCCGTTGGACCTGATGGTCTTGGAAGGTTGATTTCCAGCAAGTATCAGGACAGCTTGGACGACATCTGTCCTCTCGGAAAGGGCTGGGAGTTGACCCCGAGAGGCCGCGTCCAAGCCCTTCCCATTAATGTTTAACCCACCTGGATTCCCGGATTTGAGCCATGGGCCTCCTCACATCCCAGGTGTAAACATCCTTGACATACCATGCTATTCCTCCTTTTCTACTTGGTCTGTTGCTTGGAAAGATCCCACACCCTTCCGTAACCACATCCCAGTGCTCGGACCCCTCCCCCGTTATGCCCCACCCACCTCCTTCTCGATGTCCACTCGGGACTCGTGCTCCGTGGGACCCCCGATGAGTGGGTCTGTGACCGCCGGCTCCGCCGAGTCTCCGATGTGGTTGGTGCTGTGGTAGTGGCCCAAGAGGGAGCCCAGCGAGCCCGCAGAGATGTTGCGCGGGAAGGAGAACTCCTTCTCGTCCGAGGGGTGGCTGCGGGGAGAAGGAAGGGGGTCAGCCTCCGAGTCTGGCCCATGGACTAGGGATACGCTGGGCTCCATATCGGTGACCCCCTGACCCCTGAGCTGCCCCCCTGACTGCGGCCTGGTTCCCCCGAATCTGGGCCCACCTGTGCTTGAGCAGGAGTGCCCGCAGAACATTGGCCCGGTCCTCGGCCCGGATCTGGTCCGAGATGATCATCTGCTCCACCACCTGGTGGGCCACCCCTGGGAGGGTCTTCTGGTCCAGGTCCAGAAGGACAGCACCTGTAAGGGGGGGGGGGTGTGAGGAATTATTTATTTATTTATTTACAACATTTATATGCCACCCTTCTCACCCCGAAGGGGACTCAAGAGCGGCTTACTATATATATATATATATATATATATATATATATATATATATATACATACATATATACACACACACACACACACACACACACACATATACATACAATATATTATACTATTAGCATAGTACAACATCAGAACTAATACTATATTGTACTATACCAGTGCTGGGCAACCTTTTGAGCTTGGTGTGCCAAATTTTGCCAAAAACCTGAGCATACCTTTGATGGGGTGTCAACTTCGAGAAAAAAAAAACACATCGTTTTGCAATATTTATAGTCTAAATAAGAAAAATGTATATTCCATGCTGAGTTATGGAGTGAACAATGCTCAACTATGCAGATGTTAAATTTGTAGAGCCTTTTACAAATTGAAGGATGGAATTAGATTGGCTCTTATAAGGTGTACTTCTCTGTGGCCGCGTGTCATCAAAAATAGCCATGCGTGTCAGTGCTGACACATGTGTCATAGATTGACCATCACGGCACTATACCATTATTTTGTAATATTATTAGTAACATTACCTGTAATATAAATATATAATCAAAGTATCATATTAGTATTAGTATTATATTGCATTACATTATAATATTATATTATATCGATATTATTATATATCATATCATATTATATACTAGCTGTCCCCTGCCACGTGTTGCTGTGGCCCTCACGGGGGGTTCTGTGTGGGAGGTTTGGCCCAGTTCTATCATTGGTGGGGTTCAGAATGCTCTGTGATTGTAGGTGAACCATAAATCCCAGCAACTACAACTCCCAAATGTCAAGGTTCTATTTTCCCAAACTCCACCAGTGTTCACATTTGGGCATATTGAGTCTTCATCTAGAGCAGTGGTTCTCAACCTGGGGTCCCCAGATGTATTTGGCCTACAACTCCCAGAAATCCCAGCCAGTTTACCAGCTGTTAGGATTTCTGGGAGTTGAAGGCCAAAAACATCTGGGGGACCCCAGGTTGAGAACCACTGATGTAGAGTTTGGTTCAGATCCATCATTGTTTGAGTCCACAGTGCTCTCTGGATGTATGTGAACTAAAACTCCCAAACCAAGGAAGGCCTCCAAGGAACCCTTGGAAAATTATCATCATCATCATCATCATCATCATCATCACTATTAAGAGGAGCAGAGGGTCTGGGGCCAGAGGGGTCTGCTGGGCCTAGGGAGTGACCTGGAGGTCTGCCTGAGCCAGGGGCCTCCCTCCCTCCCTCCGTCCTCCCACACAGTGGCCTTTCCTGAGGGCCCCCCCTCCCTCCCTCTGACCACATCCCAGGGCCCCGCCCTGTCCCACCGTGGGAGAGGGTCCTGCGCAGCTCCAGGAGGCTACGAAAGGAGAGGGAGGCCACGTGGGGCTTCCCCCAGCGGTCCGTCTCCTCCTCCACGTCCTCCTCAAACTTGATCCAGCGCGCCGTCTCCTTCCACTGCATCTCCTGGTTCTTGTCCACTATCAGCTCGTTCAGCTCCACAAACACCTGCGCGGGGAAGAGCGGCATGGATCAGGGCTGGAGAGGTGGGGTCCCCTCTCCAGGAGGCGGTGCTCAAACTCCGGCCTCCCTCCTCCTCATCCGTGGCGGCTGCACCCGGACGCCAAAAGCGCCTGTGCTGCTGACCTCGTGGGGCTGGCGGTCCGTCTTGCGCTGGCGGGTGCTGGACTCCCTGCGGTCCTTGCCCAGGTGCACCACCTGCCCCTTGGTGCTCTTCCGGACCAAGTGCCGCCGCACCCCGGGCACGTCCTCGAACCTGTGGCCTGCAAAAGAAGGAAGGAAGGGCAAAGGAGGGTGGGCATTATCCGGGAGTGACCCCACATCCCGTTTCGGACATACAGGAAATGGGAAAAGGGGTGTAGGGGTGACGTTAGAAAGGCCAAAGGGCAGAAGGAGCTCAGGCTTGCTAAGAGGATGACAACAATCAAAAGGGCTCCTTCAAGGAGGTCCCCAGCAAATGGACGACCAAGGCGATGGTGAAATGCTCCAAGAGGACAGAGACAAGGCAGGACTCCTCAACGCCTTCTTTGCCTCGGTCTTTGCCTCGGTCTTTGCCTCAGTCTTTGCTTCGCTGAAGAGGGAGGATGGAGGAGGGCAAACACAGGCAGGACAGACATACCTGGCTCATCTAAATGAATCCAAGTCTCCAGGAAGAGAGTAAGAGAGTAATACCCCCCCCCCCCCCCCCCCGCTGCCACCCCGGTCACTCACTCTTCATGTAGTCCAGGTCCGCGGAGGCCAGGGTCTGGGCCTCCGACTCGTCTGTGGGCACCTTGGGCAAGCGGGCCTGGTCGATGCCCGTCTGGCTGCCGATGCGCCGGCGCTCGTTGAGGTTGTAGCTGCGGTGCGCGAGTTGTGGCTTGGAGGGCAGGCGCCCTGGGGAGCCCCCCTCCGCCCCAAGACCCTCGGTGTCCTCCTCATCGGGGCTGTGGGAAAGGACGCCACGCGTGAACACAGCGCACACAGACGGGCATGGCTCTCCCAGTTCCCCCAGTTGGCATGCGGATCCCCAAACAGGAGGCGCTCCAGTCGACCGGGCTCCCTCTCAGACCCCTCTGCACCCCACTTGATTGAAAGGCAGGTCCATAAAGGGACCAATGACCCACAAATGAGGAACAAGACTGCAAGAGGCAACAGCACAGAACGGCATGAAAGACATGTCCAAACGTATCTCCCTCTATGAACCATATTTATTTATCTATATACATGTATATATTATACATCTACAGCATCCCTACTTTGCGGATTTATCTATATGTATATATTATGTATATGTTATACATCTACAGCATCCCTACTTTGCGGATTTTCACTTTTCACGCGTGGTCCTGGAATGTAACACCCGCAATAAAGGGGGGAACACTATATAAATGCATCAAATAACTAAATAGTGAGCATGATCCCTGGAATCCCAACCCTGCACCTTCAGGGCAAAGAAGACCCCAAGGCATGACCACCCCATTCCCACCAGCCAGAGAGAGGGCGGCCTCCGGGTTCATGGAGTCAGAGGGGGGGCCAAGGGCAGACCTTCCTTCTCTTACCCGCTCGTACCTGGAAGATGGAGTCTGCAGACCACCTGGAGCCAGGTGTGTCCCCCTTTGCTCACCTGCTGGGCCGGCGTCCCCTGGAAGAGGGTCCTGGGGCGTCTCCGGTGTCAGAGAGGGGGCTGGGGAGGCGGCCGGGGGAGCTGTAGCCCCCCTCCGCTTGTCGGTCCACCGCATCGTCCTCTGGGAGGAAGAACTAGGAAGATAGAGAGGGGAAGGGAAGGGGGGTCACACTCAGGATGGTGGGGGGGGGGGGGGGCAGAAGGGTCTGCCTGCCCCTCCCTCCGTCCCCCTCCCCCAGTCCGTACCTGCACGCCTTCCCTGGAGCTGCCCCGCAGACGCCGCTGGGGGGGGCTCTGCTCGGCCTCCTCGGCGGTGTCCCCGGCCTCCTCCTCGCCCTCCTCCTCCTCGCCCTCGGCCTCCTCCTCCAGGATGACGGGCGTCTCCCCAGGGAGGGAGGCCCTCTGGGGGCGGGGCCCCCCCTTCTTCTTGCCCTTCTTCCGCCGAGACTCCGAGGGCAAGTGGCTGGACAGCGGGTGGTGGATGTGGTGGGAGGACTGCCGGTGGTCTATTGGGGGGTGGGGGGGGGAGAGGGTACGGAGTGTTAGTGGGGGTGCCCCCATGGACCCCTCCTCAGCTGAAGTGACCCCTGGCCAGACTTTGGCTCAGCTCTATGACCGGAGGGGCAACTCCATCCCGCTGCAGTGGGGGCACCATGGGAACCCCCCTCCCCATGCCCTTGAGTGGGAATGAAGGCCCGCCCCTTCCCCTGCCGCCCTTGGGTGCCCCTCGGGCCCCGACTTACACTCGAAGTCCTCCTCGCTGTAGCTGCGCCCGGCTTCCTCCACGTTGCGCGGGTGCGCGTCCTGCAGGATCTCATCGAAGCGCTCCACTCGCAGGGCCTTGCTCAGGTCCCGCTCCTCCTCCTGGGGCCCAAACGGGGGAGGGGAAGACGTCGAGGTCGCCGAGGGGCCCGGGGCCTCTTGCTCCGGCTGACAACAAAGGGGCCACAGTGAGAGGGGAGCAGCCCCCCAAAGCAGGGAGGGAAGGAGGGGCCCCAAAGACACGCTTTGCACCCCGGACTGCAGTGCAACCAGATGAGAGCAACAAAGGGTGGGGTTTGGGTGGGTTGTAGCCCCCCAATGGAAGTTTCCTGAGGTCGGAGGGAGACCCCCCCCCCCACATCCCACTAGGAAGTGCAAAGCAACATCCAAGAGAGCAAAGATCAGAAGATCAAGACGACCAAGAGACTTTATAAACATCACTATGACAGTTTGATGAGTGACACAGTTTGCAATGAAGCAACCGAATTATGATGAAGGGATTATTGGTGCAATGCAATATTTTTGTACGGGGGGTTATTATGTTTTGATATGAGGAGCCTCCGGTGGTGCAATGGGTTAAACCCTTGTGCTGGCAGGAAGAACAAGCTGGAAGTTCGAATCTGGGGAGAGTGCGGATGAGCTCCCTCTGTCAGCTCCAGCTCCCCATGCAAAGGGACATAAGAGAAGCCTCCCACAAGGATGGGAAAACATCAAAACATCCAGGCAATGTCCCCTAGGCAACGTCTTTGCAGACAGCCAATTGAAAGGAGATGTTGACTCTAAGCTCGAAAGTGTCCAGAGGAAGGCAACTCAAATGATGAAGGGTCTGGAGAACAAGCCCTATGAGGAGCGGCTTAAGGAGCTGGGCATGTTTAGCCTGAAGAAGAGAAGGCTGAGAGGAGACATGATGAGGGCCATGTATAAATATGTGAGAGGAAGCCACAGGGAGGAGGGAGCAGATCAAGGGTCTGGAGAACAAGCCCTATGAGGAGAGGCTTAAGGAGCTGGGCATGTTTAGCCTGAAGAAGAGAAGGCTGAGAGGAGACATGATAGCCATGTATAAATATGTGAGAGGAAGCCACAGGGAGGAGGGAGCGAGCCTGTTTTCTGCTGCCCTGGAGACTAGGACGCAAGGGAGGAATGGCTTCAAACGTCCTTGCAGACAGTCAATTCTCTCACACCAGAAGCGACTTGCAGTTTCTCAAGCCGCTCCTGACACCAAAAAAACAAAACAAAAAAAAACCCCCAAAACTTTTAATATGTTTAATAGCTTTAAATTGTATTAATATATTATAATACCAAATATATAAATTGCGTCATGGTGTCATCGTTTTATTGTTTGCTTGAGGTTTATTACTTGCTTATGGGTTTTATTTTATTTTTTATGAGTTTTATTGTGTATTGTATGTTGCTGTTGTCGGCGGCCTTGGCCTTTGTAAGCAGCATCGAGTCCTTCGGGAGATTTTGCAGGGTATAAATAAAGTTAATAATAATAATAATAATAATAATAATAATAATAATAATAATATTACATTGCTCTCTCATCCAGTGTTTTTAAACTTTTAATTTCTGTAACCGGCCTTGCGCACCGTGACCAAATATTCTGATTTTATATCATCTGAGGTGTTTATTTATACTTTTTTTTTGCATTTGAATTTTATTTTATTTCCTTACATTGTATTGTTGTATTCTTATGTGTATGTTTGCATGGTTGTATTGCTGGGCTTGGCCTCATGTAAGCCGCCCCGAATCCCCTTGTTGTTGTTGTTGTTGTTATTATTATTATTATTATTATTATTATTATTAATTTCTGTACCTGGCCTTGCGCACCGTGACCAAATATTCTGATTTTATATTTCCGAGGTATTTATTTATACTGTTTTTTTTTTTGCATTTGCATTTTATTTTATTTCCTTACATTGTATTGTTGTATTCTTATGTGTGTATTTGCATTGTTGTATTGCTGGGCTTGGCCTCATGTAAGCCGCCCCGAGTCCCCTTGTTGTTGTGGTTATTATTATTATTATTATTCATTTCGGTACCTGGCCTTGCGCACTATGACCAAATATTCTGATTTTATATTGTCCGAGGTGTTTATTTATACTGTTTTTTGTATTTTATTTTATTTCCTTACATTGTATTGTTGTATTCTTATGTGTATATTTGCATGGTTGTATTGCTGGGCTTGGCCTCATGTGAGCCTCCCCGAATCCCCTTGTTGTTGTTATTATTATTATAATTATTATTATTAATTTCTGTACCTGGCCTTGCGCACCGTGACCAAATATTCTGATTTTATATTTCCGAGGTATTTATTTATACTGTTTTTTTTTTTGCATTTGCATTTTATTTTATTTCCTTACATTGTATTGTTGTATTCTTATGTGCGTATTTGCATGGTTGTATTGCTGGGCTTGGCCTCATGGAAGCCGCCCTGAGTCCCCTTGTTGTTGTTGTTGTTGTTATTATTATTATATTATTATTATTTCTAGGGATTTTATGTCATGTTTTATTTGGTTTCTGTAACAAGTCATTGCATTTTTGCCTAGACGTAGGTTGTACGCCACTCTGAGTGGGATAGAAATAACGGGGGTCACTGGAGAAACAACCCACAGAAGCCCCCCCCCCCTTTTCTGCAATGCCTCTGCATGACCCCCACCTCCCTGGGCCCGGGACAACCTCTGCTTGGCCCCCATCCCCAACACAGTGGATTCGGAGGGGGGCAAAGAAGTGCAGGACTTTCATGGGTGGGTTGTTGGGGGGGGGCACCATAGGGAGGACAGCCAACCTTCCCTCCCTCCTTCCTTCTCACAGCGCAAGGCAAAGCTGCAATTGTGGAGGGGGGGGCATGATCTGCCTACCTGCGCCATGAGCAACCCAGGACGTTCGGGGCTTTTGCTGCTGCTGCTGCCACCTCCTCTTCCTCCTCCTCGTCCCCTGTTCTCCTTTCAGTCCGGAGGAAGGGAAGCGAATGGAAGGTCAAGGGACGGAGGGAGGCGGTGGCAGCAGCAGCAGCGGCGGCAAAGAGAAGTGTGTGTGCGTATGGGGGGGGGGGGTGGCGACAGGAGACTCCATCCCTGCTGCGCCCGCTGATAGTGCTGCAGCCGCACTTCTCCAAATATTGATGGAGGAGGGAGGAGAGAAGGAGGGAGTACCCCCTCAGTCCAATGACAGGAAAGGTGCCAAGGAGGGGCCCTATCCCCCCTCCCCGGTCACCAGGCTGACCGGTGCAGAGAGGGGCTGCCCAGAGTGCCACCTGCAACAAGGTCTGCCCAAATATTGATTGATGGAGGAGGGATTGAGGAGGGAGGGAGTCATCTTCCCCCCCCCCCCGTTCAACGACAAGAGAGGTGCCATGGAGACCCCCCACTCCGTGGCCAGGCTGGGGGAGGAGCCCTCTTCCCCCCCCCCTTTGCCAGGCTGACCGGTGTAGAGAGGGGTTGCCCAGAGCGCCACCTGCAACAAGGTCCACCCAAATATTGACTGAGGATGGAGGAGGGAGGGAGTCCCGCCCCCCGTCCAATGACAGGAGCTGTGCCATGGGGACCCCCACCCTGTGGAGGTGTGGTCAGGCCAGCGGAGGGGCCCTATTTCCCACCCACCCACTTGCCAGGCTGACCGGTGCAGAGAGGGGCTGCCCAGAGTGCCACCTGCAACAAGGTCCACCCAAATATTGACGGATGGAAGAGGGAGGGAGTCCCCCCTTGTTCAACAACAGAAGAGGTGCTGTGGAGCCCCCCGCACTCCGTAGCCAGGCTGGGGGAGGGACCCTATTCTCCCCCCCCCCAACTTCCAGGCTGACTGGTGCAGAGAGGGGCTGCCCAGAGTGCCACCTGCAAAAAGGTCCACCCAAATATTGACGGATGGAAGAGGGAGGGAGTCTCACCCCTATGCCAGGAGAGGTGCCATGGAGACCCCCACCCCGTGAAGGTGTGGCCAGGCTGGGGGAGAGACCCTATTCTCCCCCCCCCCAACTTCCAGGCTGACTGGTGCAGAGAGGGGCTGCCCAGAGTGCCACCTGCAAAAAGGTCCACCCAAATATTGACGGATGGAGGGGGAGGGAGTCCCCCCTTGTTCAACAACAGAAGAGGTGCTGTGGAGCCCCCCGCACTCCGTAGCCAGGCTGGGGGAGGGACCCTATTCTCCCCCCCCCCCCAACTTCCAGGCTGACTGGTGCAGAGAGGGGCTGCCCAGAGTGCCACCTGCAAAAAGGTCCACCCAAATATTGACGGATGGAAGAGGGAGGGAGTCTCACCCCTATGCCAGGAGAGGTGCCATGGAGACCCCCACCCCGTGAAGGTGTGGCCAGGCTGGGGGAGAGACCCTATTCTCCCCCTCACAACTTCCAGGCTGACCGGTGCAGAGAGGGGCTGCCCAGAGCGCCACCTGCAACAAGGTCCACCTAAATGGGGAGGGAGGGGTCACACTGAGGACACCCCCCCCTTCCACAGCCCCCCCCCCACCAATGGAGAGGATGCCTATGCTGTGGCATGAATGCAACTTGATCCCACTTTGACTTGGGCCCTCCCTCCCTCCCTCCAGGTGTTTTGGACTCCAACTCCCACCATTCCTAACAGCGCTTTCCTTTCCCAACTCAGAGGAGATAATTGTCCGTCTAGAAGGACGTTGCCCAGGGGACGTTGCCTGGATGTCTGATGTTCTGCTATCCTTGTGGGAGGCTTCTCTCGTGTCCCCTTTGCATGGGGAGCTGGAGCTGACAGAGGGAGCTCATCCACGCTCTCCCCGATCGAACCTGCGACCTGTCGGTATTCAGTTTTGCTGGCACAGGGATTTAACCCACTGCGCCACTGGGGGCTCCTCTGAGCAGGTGGGGAGTGGGCTTTGGGGGTCTCTGCAGCCCGGCAGTCTCTCCCCACTGTAGGATTCTGTGGTTTTTGTCGCATGGCGCCTTGCAGAGGCTCCAAAGGGCAGAAAGGGAGGGACCCACTCAAAACGTGCACACACACACCTCCACCGAGTGATCCGAACCACAGGTGGAAAGGGGACGAGAAGGGGACCCTGCGCCCCCACCCCCACCCCAGGATCCCAGGGTCAAGGTGCAGAATGAGGAATATGGGGTGAGGGGGTGGGGGGTCCGCCTGGGGGTTACCTCAAAGAGGAAGTCCATGGCCGGCCGTGCAAGTGGGGTGGGTGCCCACACCTTTGGGCAGCCAGGAGCAAAGAGAGGAGAGGGTTCCTTCCTGGGTCAGGAGGTGCCGAGCACCAATGGCGGGTGCAAAAGGGTTACTCATTAACCCCAACACCAGCAAACGAGGAAGAGGCTTCTTTCAAAGGGGGGGGGGGGATACCAGGAAGGTGCAAATCCAGTCTCTCCCTATTTATGGGGGGGGGGGGGGGGGGACACCATGAGCCCTGGGCAAAGGTTAAGGCTCTTAACTTATAGTATATGTTATTGTCTAACTATTATGTTTTGGTATTTACATGTATGTACAGCATTGAATTTTGCAAATATTGTGTTGGAAACTGCTTTGAGTCACCCCCAGGTGTGAGAAAAGTGGTATAGGAATGCAGCAAATAATAAATAAATACATAAATAAACAAAGAAATAAATAAAGGGGGCTCTCCATGCCGTTGGAGCAGGGCTAGATGGCCCCTGGGGGACCCCTGACCTTGGGCAAGATGCAGTAAAAAATAAACAAACAAACAAACAAACAAACAAACAAACAAAGGGGCCTTTCCATGCCACCAGGGCAAGGCTAGATGGCCCCTGGGAGACCCCCAACCTTGGGCAGATGCAGTAAATAATAAACAAACAAACAAGCAAAGGGACTCTCCATGCTGTCGGGGCAGGGCTAGACGGCCCCTGGGGGACCCCTGACCTTGGGGAGATGCAGTAAATAATAAACAAACAAATAAAAGGGGCTTTCCATGCAATCAGGGCAGGGCTAGATGACCCTTGGGGGACCCCCAACCTTGGGGAGATGCAGTAAATAACAAACAAACAATAAAGGGGCCTTTCCATGCCATCAGGGCAAGGCTAGATGGCCCCTGGGAGACCCCCAACCTTGGGCAGATGCGGTAAATAATAAATAAACAAACAAGCAAAGGGGCTCTCCATGCTGTTGGGGCAGGGCTAGATGGCCCCTGGGGGACCCCCAACCTTGTGGGGTGGTGTGGCTGGCAGGGGCACCCCTCCCCAGCACAACGCAAGCCTGCCCTTAAGTTGGCTTTCGCCAAGGGTCCCCCACAGGCCGTCCAGCTGCACCCCGAGGGGGAGGGGTCAGGAAACGCCCTCCATTTGGGGGGGGGGGGTTAGGGTAAGAAGGAAGGGGCACATTCATCTCTCTTAAGTCCATCCTGTCCTCTTCTCCCACCCCCCACCCCACATCTGACCCAGTGTCCGCACTTGCAGGCCACAAGGAGCGAACAGAGTGGGGTGGGGGGGCTGGTCAGCGCACCCCTCCCCAGGGAAAAGAAGCCCAACCACAAACCCCTCACGGTGGCTCCGGCCAAGGGTCCCCCAGGGGCCATCCAGCCTCACCCTGAGGGCAAGGAGGCAGGAAACGCCCTCCGTTTGGGGGGCCAAGAAAGAAGGACCACTTTAATCCCTCTGAAGTGTGGACATCCTCTTTTGGGGGAAGGGGAGTGGGATCATATGTCCCTCCTGCCCCCTCTGACCCAGCGCCAGCCTTGAAAGAGGAGCCTCCGCGCGGTTGGGGGGCCGGGGCGCAGCAGGGGCTTCTCTGTGGGTCCGCATCTGAGAGCAAACACCGTTCGGGGCCAGCGGGGATATCGGGTGTCCTCCGTCCTGCAGGGAGCCCACTTCCTTTGTTTTCGTGGCCAGATCCGGAGGAAGCAACACGGCCCCCTCCCCACCAGCTCTATCGTCCTGCCTCCCCCCCCCCATTTGCACATCTCCCCCATCATCTATCCCAAGGTTTCCCCCATAACTGTGCTACTCACCCCCTCGAAGGGAGAGGAGATGATGTGGTGGAGCTCCATGGTCAGCGGAGGGAAGGGAGACGGACGGAATGGCGGACGGGCCTGGCTCGGGCTATCCCTTCTCCTTCTCCCTGGCGCTCAGAGGGCGAGGCGGGGGCAGCATAACCTGAAAAAAAAAGGGGGTGGGGGGATATAAGGGAAGTGGGTGAACAAAGGGTGAGGGGGGCACCAAGTRCRCARGRRGGATGGAGGAGTCAGCCTCAGGTGACCAACCCATGAGTAGCCCTGGCCTGATGGSATGACCAAGGGAAACTGAGGGGTGTCATCGGCACATGGTCCATAAAGTCATGCCCTTGAATGACCTCCCCCCAATAACTCCAGAGGTTGGCAAGAGCCCCACGGTGCTGCATTTGGAATCCAACCCTGCAGAGACCCACAAAAGGAACAACATGAGGAAGAATTTCTAAACTGAGAGAGAGCGCTGTTCAACAGTGGAACTCTCTGCCTCCATCTTTGGAGGCTTTGAAGCAGAGGCTGGGTGGCCATCTGTTGGGCATGCTTTGAATGTGATTTTCCAGTTTCTTGGCAGAATAGGGTTGGACTGTATGGCCCACCAGGTCTCTTCCAACTCTAGGATTCTATGAAAAGTTGCAGTTCTATATAAGCAGACGTTCCTGTAGCTTAGTAGCTGTCAGTCTGAGGTAAACCTCAGTGGGAGAAAGGTCTCCGTCTGTGAGAAGGCCTCAAAGTGTGAGGTAGGCATTATGGGGCTGGACAGGATGGCCCAACAGCTCCCTTCCAACTCTAGAATTCTATGAAAAGCTGCAGTTCTACATAAGCAGGTGTGCCTATAGCTTAGTAGCTGTCAGTCTGAGGTAAACCTCAGTGGGAGAAAGGTCTCAGTCTGTGAGAAGTAGGCCTCACAGTGTGAGGTAGGCATTATGGGGTTGGATTGGATTGCCCACCAGGTCTCTTCCAACTCAGTTCTATATGAACAGGTGTGCCTGTAGCTTAGTACCTGTCAGTCTCAGGTAAACCTCAGTGGGAGAAAGGTTTCAGTCTGTGAGAAGGCCTCACAGTGTGAGATAGGCATTATGGGGTTGGACTGGATGGCCCACCAGGTCTCTTCCAACTCAGTCCTATATAAGCAGGTGTGCCTGTAGCTTAGTAGCTTTTGGTCTGAGGTAAACCTCAGTGGGAGAAAGGTCTCAGTCTGAGAACGCCTCACAGTGTGAGGTAGGCATTATGGGGTCGGACTGGGTGGCCCACCAGGTCCCTTCGAACTCTAGGATTCTATGAAAAGCTGCAGTTCTATATAAGCAGGTGTGACTGTAACTTAGTAGTTGTCAGTCCGAGGTAAACCTCAGTGGGAAAAAGGTCTCAGTCTATGAGAAGGCCTCACAGCGTGAGGTAGGAATTATGGGGGTTGGACTGGATTGCCCACCAGGTCTCTTCCAACTCGAGAATTCTATACAAAGCTGCAGTTCTATATAAGCAGGTGTGCCTGTGGCGTAGTAGCTGTCAGTTTGAGGTAAACCTCAGTGGGAGAAAGGTCTCAGTCTGTGAGAAGGCCTCACAGTGTGAGGTAGGCATTATGGGGTTGGACTGGATGGCCCACCAGGTCTCTTCCAACTCCAGGATTCTATGATTCTATGAAAAGGGGGGTGGGTGGAATGGCACCCAACCCCCCAATCCTCCCCAAATGGCCTTAGCCATGAAGCCACGAAATAGTGGTGGTCTGGTCAGTGGCCCCCAAAGCCACAGGGGGCCCTTGCTGGACCAAGAACCCCCTGCCATCAGAGTGACCCTGAGTCCCCACATTGAGATGCAGCGGGATGTAAATAAAGCTTTGTTATATTTATTGTTGCTGAGACCCTGGCCCAAAGCGGTCAGTGGCCAGAGGAAGTCCAGCAGGATGGCCCCTGGCTGCCCCTCAGTGCGCCCTCTCTTCTGGCAAGGGGCAGTGGGGGTGATTCTAGGGCATTTCAATGGGGCCCAACTGAATGGCAGGGGGAAAGAGGGGAGAGCCACCACTGCCCACCAGCATCCTGTTGCCTGGAAGGGGGCCCTGCACAAGGGAGACCCTCCCTACACACACAAATATGGGACCCTGCCCAGCTTTGGGGCATACGGTCAGCAATGGCTAGGGACTGAACGCCCCCCAGAAGAATCCTAGAAGGGGGAGGGAGGGAGCGAAGGAAGGAAGGGGAGGGCAAAGCTGCCCCCCTCCCGCTGGGGCGCAAGGCTTTGGCCGGGTTTGTTTTGGCCACAGAGTCCTGGAGCCGCGGCCAAGAGCAATGCTCCTCGCGGAGGGGGGTCGCGGCCCCAGCATCAGGGCAGCCGGCCTGATCCGGACTCTGGGAAGAGTCACTCCCTTTGCACACACACAGCCTTGACCTCCCCCCCCCCCCCCCCCCCAAGCGTGCCACAGAAGAGGGGCAGAGGAGACCCTCCTCTCTGTGAGAATGCAGGCAGGAGGAGGGTCCCCGTTCCTTCCTTCTGGCCCCAGCCTCCACCCAAGATGGAAAGAGTGGTTCTGAGTGTGTGCAGAGTGCAGCCTGGACCTCAGGCACCCTCCTCCCTTGCACCTCAGGGGACCCCCAAAGCTATAGGGCAGAGGCTGCCTTCTGAAAGACCCCCACCCAAAATGGAAAGAGTGGTTCTAAGCATGTGCAGAGTGCAGCCTGGACCTCAGGCACCCTCCTCTCTTGCACCTCGGGGGACCCCCAAAGCTATAGGGCAGAGGCTGCCTTCTGAAAGACCCCCACCCAAAATGGAAAGAGTGGTTCTAAGCATGTGCAGAGTGCAGCCTGGACCTCAGGCACCCTCCTCTCTTGCACCTCGGGGGACCCCCAAAGCTATAGGGCAGAGGCTGCCTTCTGAAGGACCCCCACCCAAAATGGAAAGAGTGGTTCTGAGCATGTGCAGAGTGCCTCCTGCCCACCCACTACGTCCAGCGCCCTCTCCCCTTGCAGGGTACTCCCCTTGGGGGACCCTCAAAGCTATAAGGCAGAGATTATCTTCTGAAGGACCCCCACCCAAAATGGAAAGAGTGGTTCTGAGCATGTGCAGAGTGCAACCTGAACCTCAGGCCCCCTCCTCCCTTGCAGGGGACTCACCTTGGGGGACCCCCAAAGCCGTAGGGCAGAGGCTGCCTTCTGAAGGACCCCCACCCAAAATTGAAAGAGTGGTTCTGAGCATGTGCAGAGTGCCTCCTGCCCACCTACTATATCCTGCACCCTCTTCTTTTGCAGGGGACTCCCCTTGTGGGACCCCCAAAGCCGTAGGGCAGAGGCTGCCTTCTGGAGGACCCCCACCCAAAATGGAAAGAGTGGTTCTGAGCCTCCTGAACCACTCAGGCACCCACCACTCAGGCACCCTGCCCCCTTGCAGGGGACTCACCTCGGGGGACCCCCAAAGCTGTAGGGTAGGGGCTGCCTTGGGCCCCTTCTGAAGGACCCCCGCCCACCTCCCTGCCTGGCTTTCTTTGCAGCCCCCTCTCCTGATTGGCAAGCGGCAAGGAAGGGAGGAAGTGGTGGAGGGTGACTCTTCCTCACGAGGAGGAGGAGGAGGAGGAAAGGGAGGCGCTTGCTCAGCCCGCCCTCAGGCAACAAGGGCCCCGGCCTTGGCTTTGGAACCCCCAAGGAAGGAGCCCCCCCAAAAAAATCCCACTTGCCAGGCTTACAGGAAGACCCCTCCCCCTGCTCCCCTATCTTTCAGGCCTTGGGTTTTGGAGGGAGGGAGAGAGGAAAGAACCTCCCGAGGAAGGACCCCCCACAAAAAAAGCCCCCCGTCCCTGCTCCCCCATCTTTCAGGCCTTGGGTTTGGCTGGGAGGGAGGAAAGAACCCCCCCCCCCAAAAAAAAAACCCCACAGACAAGTTGAGTGCAAAAGTGGGAGAAGGGAAAGGGAGGCAGCAGCAAAAGGCAGCTCAAGAAAGTCAGCCAAGTTGCAGATCCAAGGAGAAGCCCCTTGCTTCCCAGATTCTGCAAGGACGTTGCCCAGGGGACATTGCCCAGGTGTGCTACCATCCTATAGGAGGCTTCTCTCATGTCCCTGCATGGGAAGCTGGAGCTGACAGATGGAAGCTCACCTTGCTCCCCAGATTCTGCAAGGACATTGCCCAGATGTGTTACCATCCTTTGGGAGGCTTCTCTCATGCCCCTGAATGGGGAGCTGGAGCTGACAGATGGGAGCTCACCTTCCCCAGATTCTGCAAGAACGTTACCCAGATGTGTTACCATCCTTTGGGAGGCTTCTCTCATGCCCCTGAATGGGGAGCTGGAGCTGACAGATGGGAGCTCACCTTCCCCAGATTCTGCAAGAACGTTACCCAGATGTGTTACCATCCTTTGGGAGGCTTCTCTCATGCCCCTGAATGGGGAGCTGGAGCTGACAGATGGGAGCTCACCTTCCCCAGATTCTGCAAGAACGTTACCCAGATGTGTTACCATCCTTTGGGAGGCTTCTCTCATGCCCCTGAATGGGGAGCTGGAGCTGACAGATGGGAGCTCACCTTGCTCCCCAGATTCTGCAAGGACATTGGGGACACCCAGGTGTGTTACCATCCTATATCCCTGAATGGGAAGCTGGAGCTGAGAGATGGGAGCTCATACCGCTGTTCAGATTCAAACCACCGACCTTTCGGTCAGCAGTCCTGCCAACACAAGGGTTTGACCCAATGTGCCACTGGGAGTTCCTTAGCATTCCCGCTGACCTGGGCCCATCTTCCAAGAAGACCCCCGCCCCAAGCCCTGGAGGGCTGGGGCAAAGGTCAATACCTTGCCTGGACCCAGTCAGGTGGAACTCCTTGACCCTCCGGCCACGAAGGCCCTCTTGGCGGCTCCTCCATAGGGCAGCCCCCTCCCCACTCACTCACTCACTCACTCACTCGCCTTAACTCCCCCTCCCCAAGTAGAGTTAATCTTGGAGAGCTTTGGGAAGGGGGGGGGATTCACCTTCCCTGCCCACCTCAAGTCTGCAGGAGCCCCACAGAACCATAGGGATGTGCTGGAGTTTCATCCTGGGACTGCACAAAGTATCTGGTGTCCATCAAGTTTGCAGTCCTCAATGAGTAGCTGAGCTAAAGGACTGGAAACTTGACGAAGTTAGAGGCTTGGGATGAAACCCAACAGGATGGATTGGGTTTGGACACCCCCCCCCCCCAAAAAAAAGACTTCTCCTAAACAGACCCAGCTGAAAGTCTCTGGTATCATCAAGTTTCTAGTCCTCAATGAGTAGCTAAGCTAGAGGACTGGAAACTTGATGACACAAGAGGCTTGGGATGAAACCCAACATGGATTGGGTTTGCAACCACCCCCCCCTCCCCAAAAAAAAGACTTCTCCTAAACAGACCAAGCTGAAAGTCTCTGGTGTCATCAAGTTCCTGGTCCTCAATGAGTAACTAAGCTAGAGGACTGCAAACTTGATGATACAAGAGGCTTGGGATGAAACCCAACATGGATTGGGTTTGCAACACCCCCCCTCCCCAAAAAAAAGACTTCTCCTAAACAGACCAAGCTGAAAGTCTCTGGTGTCATCAAGTTCCTGGTCCTCAATGAGTAGCTAAGCTAGAGGACTGGAAACTTGATGGCAGAAGAGGCTTGGGATGAAGCCCAACATGGATTGGGTTTGGACACCCTCCCCCCAAAAAAACAAGGCCTAGGATGGATTGGGTTTGGACACCCCCCCCCCAAAAAAAAGACCTCCTAAACACACCAAGCTGAAAGTCTCTGGTATCATCAAGTTTCCAGTCCTCAATGAGTAGCTAAGCTAGATGACTGGAAACTTGATGACACAAGAGGCTTGGGATGAAACTCAACACGGATTGGATTTGCAAACCCCCCCTCCCCAAAAAAAAGACTTCTCCTAAACAGACCAAGCTGAAAGTCTCTGGTGTCATCAAGTTCCTGGTCCTCAATGAGTAGCTAAGCTAGAGGACTGCAAACTTGATGACACAAGAGGCTTGGGATGAAACCCAACAGGATGGATTGGGTTTGGACCCCCCATCCCCCCCAAAAAAAGACTTCTCCTAAACAGACCCAGCTGAAAGTCTCCGGTGTCATCAAGTTTCCAGTCCTCAATGAGTACCTAAGCTAGAGGACTGGAAACTTGACGACACAAGAGGCTTGTGCAATCCATGGAGGAAACCCAACAGGATGGATTGGACCCCCCCCCCCCAAAGTAGACTTCTTTGAGACCCATCTGAAGAGGGTTTGGACACCCCCCCCCCCAAAAGACCTCCTAAACAGACCAAGTTGAAAGTCTCTGGTATCATCAAGTTTCTAGTCCTCAATGAGTAGCTAAGCTAGAGAACTGGAAACTTGACGACTTAACAGGATAGATTGGGTTTAGACCCCTCCCCCCCAAAAAAAGACACAGACCCAACAGGATGGATTGGACCCCCCCCCAAAAAGTATACTTCTTTGACACCCATTTGTGGGGGGGAGGTTGGGGGTCTTGGGGGCTCTTTCCCTCCTCCCCTCCTTTGACCCCACCGCCCCCCCTTACACACAACTCCAAATATAAGTACATTCCTTGGCTTAATCCCATCCAGAGTGCAAGGAGGGGGCAAAGGGGGGGGGGGTCTCCCGCGGATTATGGACTCGTAAACAAACTCCGGATTGTTCTGGTGGAAAGCCGGGCTGAGAAGCTGCCCTGGGTCCGGTTCTCACGGGACGGATTCGAGGGTCAGGGAGGGGGTCCCTGGTGCCCCCCACCACCCACCCACCAGACCTCCCTTAAGCATGTGCAGAGTGCCTTTGACTGGGACATACTCTCGGAAAGGACATCATATATTGCAGGAGAGGTATGGGCCAACTTTGGCCTGCCTTGCAGGTGTTTTGGACTCCAACTCCCACAATTCCTGGCCTCAGGCCCCTTCCTTTTCCCCCTCAGCTGCTTAAGCTTTTCAACAGAGACTGGATGGTCATCTGTTGGGGGTGATTTGAATGCAATATTCCTGTTTCTTGGCAGAATGGGGTTGGACTGGATGATGGTCTCTTCCCACTCTAGGATTCTAGGATTCTATACCTATGGAGGAATGGCCATCTGCTGGGAAGGCTTGGATGGTGCCTTCCTGTTTATTAATTAATTAATTATTATTTTACAACATTAATTTATTTATTTAAAACAGCAGAAAGAAGGGGGCTGGACTGGATGACCTTTACAGGTCCCTTCCAACTAGGAATGATTCTATATCTCATTCATACCTATGCCTGAATGGTCATCTGCTGGGAAGGCTTGGATGGTGTCTTTCTATTTATTATTTATTTAAAAAATTATTTAAAAAATAGCAGAAAGAAGGGGGCTGGACTGGATGGCCTTTAGAGGTCCCTTCCAACTAGGAATGATTCTATCTCTCAATCATACCTATGGCGGAATGGCCATCTGCTGGGAAGGCTTGGATGGTATCTTCCTGTTTATTTATTTATTTAAAACATAAATTTATTTATTTTAAACATAGCAGAAGGAAAGGGGCTGGACTGGATGGTCTTTAGAGGTCCCTTCTAACTAGGAATGATTCCATCAATCATATCTATGGCGGAATGGCCATCTGCCGGGAGGGCTTGGATGGTGTCTTTCCGTCTAGCAGGAAGAAGGGGGCTGGACTGGATGACCATGACCTTTAGTGCCCCCTTCCAACCAGCAATGATTCTACCTCTCAATCATACCTATGACTGAATGGCCATCTGCTGGGAGGGCTTGGATGGTGTCTTTCCATCTAGCAGAAAGTAGGGGGCTGGACTGGGTGACCTTTAGTGGTCCCTTCCAACCAGGAATGATTCTATCTCTCAATCCTACCTACAGCTGAATGGCCATCTGCTGGGAAGGCTTGGATGGTGTCTTTCTGTCTGGCAGAAGGAAGGGGGCTGGACTGGATGGCCTTTAGAGGTCCCTTTAAACTCTAGGATGCCCAAGGATTGAGCAAAAGTGGGGTCTCAAGCCCCCGGCAGAAGGAAGGGGGCTGGACTGGATGACCTTTAGTGGTCCCTTCTAACTAGGAATGATTTTATCCCTCAGTCATACCTATGGCTGAATGGCCATCTACTGGGAGAGCTTGGATGGTGTCTTTCCGTCTAGCAGAAAGTAGGGGGCTGGAGTGGATGACCTTTAGTGGTCCCTTCTAACTAGGAATGATTCCATCAATCATATCTATGGCTGAATGGCCATCTGCTGGGAGGGCTTGGATGGTGTCCTTCTATCTGGCAGAAGGAAGGGGGCTGGACTGGATGACCTTTAGTGGTCCCTTCCAACTAGGAATGATTCTCAGTCATACTTCTGGCTGAATGGCCATCTGCTGGGAAGGCTTGGATGGTGTCCTTCTGTCTAGCAGAAAGAATGGGGCTGGACTAGATGGCCTTTGGAGGTCCCTTTAAACTCTAGGATGCACAGGGGCTGAGGGTCTCAAGCCCCTGGCAGAAGGAAAGGGGCTCGACAGGATGACCTATCAATCATACCAATGGCTGAATGGCCATCTGCTGGGAGGGCTTGGATGGTATCTTTCCATCTAGCAGAAGGACGGGGGCTGGACTGGATGGCCTTCGGAGGCCCCTCCTGAGGGAAGGCTGGTCTCCTACACCCGACCGGCGCCTCCCCCGCCCCCCAAAGAGGCCTTTTCCTACCTTGAGGGGACGGAGGAAGGGAGGGCGGTGGGGCAGAGGGGCACCTGCGGGACACCTGCCCTCTCCTGTGTCGCGGAACCCGACTGGCCTTGGCCTGGCACCTGCGCCAGGGACACGTGTGTGTGTGTGTGTGTCTGTGTGTGTGTGTGTGCCGCCACACGCACTCCCTCCCGGGGTGTTAAGCGCCAGACAAAAGGCCCTTGTGTACCTGTGTGTGTGTGTGTGTGTGTGTGTGTGTGGAGGGCCTGGCTGCTCCTTAATTAGTGCCCCGTCGTCGCCCCACTTACTTTGCCGCAACTCCCAAAGTCACATTCCAGGGACGAGCCCCAACTGGCCCGGCCTGATCCGGATCAGCCGATTATTAGGGGCTGCCCCCTCGCCACAGAGACACCCCCTCCTCCTCCCAGACACACACACACACACACAAAACAGCCCTTGCAACACCCCCCCCCCCCCCCCCCCCCCCCCCCCACCCCCCCCCCCCCCGAAGATACACCCCCCAGGAAGCACAGAATGGAGGAGCCCCAAAGGTCATCCAGTCCAACCCCATCTTGCCAGGCCTTTGGGATTTCACTTTGTCATGTTGGAAACCCCCCTGAATTCCCTTTGGGCAGGAATGGCAAACCCAGGCCCATTAGGCTCTGTTCTCTTGTCATCCTATCCTTCCTTCCATCCCTCCCTCTCTCTTTCCTTCCTTCCTCCTTTACTTCTTTCTCTTTGTCTTCCTCCTCCTCCACTTCTTCTTCTTCTTCTTTCCTCCTCAACTCCTCCTTCCCCTTCTCCCTCCTTCCTCTCTTCCTTCTCTTTCTCTTCTCCTTCCTCCTTCTTTCCCTCCTTCCTTCCTTCCCTTTCCTTCTCCTTTCTCTCTTTCTCCTTCCTTCCTTCCTCTCTCTCTCTTCTCCTCCTTCTTCTCCTCCTTCCTTCTCCTCTTCTTCCTTCTTCCTTCCTTCTCTTTTTTCCTTCTCCCTTCCCTCCTTCCTCCTTCCCCCTTCCCTTTCCTTCTCCTTCCTTCCCTCCTTCCTTTCCTTCCTTCCTTCCTTCCTTCCTTCCTCCTTCCTCCTCCCTCTTCCTTCTTTCTCTTCCTTCCCCTTTCCCTCCTCCTCCTTTCCTTCCTTTCTCCTTCTTCCTTTCTTCTTCCTCCTTTTGTCTTTCCCTCCTTCCCCTTTCCTCTCTCCTCTTTCCTCCTCCTCTTCCTTCTCTTTCCTTCTTCCTTCCTCTCCCCTTCTCCCTCCCTCTCTCTATTCCTTTCCTTCCTTCTCTTTTTTACCGTTTCATCCTTCCTTCCTTCCTTCCTTCTCCTTCCTTCCTTCCCTTTTGTCTTTCCTTCCTTCCTTCCTCTCCTTCTCTCCCTCTATCCCTTTCCTTCCTTCTCTTTCTCTTTCCTCCTTTACCCCTCTTTCTCCCTCCCACCTTCCTTCCTCTTCTACCTTTTCATCCTTCCTTCCCCCTTTCCTCCCTCCCTCCTTCCTCCCTCTTTTACCCTTTCATCCTTCCTTTCTTCCCCCTTTCCTCCCTCCTTCCCTCTCTCTTTCTCCTTCCTTCCTTCCCTTTATTCTCCCTCCCTCTCTCTATTCCTTTCCTTCCTTCTCTTTTTTACCGTTTCATCCTTCCTTCCTTCCTTCCTTCTCCTTCCTTCCTTCCCTTTTGTCTTTCCTTCCTTCCTTCCTCTCCTTCTCTCCCTCTATCCCTTTCCTTCCTTCTCTTTCTCTTTCCTCCTTTACCCCTCTTTCTCCCTCCCACCTTCCTTCCTCTTCTACCTTTTCATCCTTCCTTCCCCCTTTCCTCCCTCCCTCCTTCCTCCCTCTTTTACCCTTTCATCCTTCCTTTCTTCCCCCTTTCCTCCCTCCTTCCCTCTCTCTTTCTCCTTCCTTCCTTCCCTTTATTCTCCCTCCCTCTCTCTATTCCTTTCCTTCCTTCTCTTTTTTACCGTTTCATCCTTCCTTCCTTCCTTCCTTCTCCTTCCTTCCTTCCCCTTCCTTCCTTCTCCCTTTCCTCCTTCCCCCTTCCTTCCTTCCTTCCTTTCTCCCCTTCCCTCCCTTCCCTTTCTCCTTCCTCTTTTCCTCCTGAGGGATGTTTCCCGGAGAGAAGAGAAGTAGAGAGGGAACACGAGACCCATGTCTCCAGATTTCCAAGGATGTCCCTTGGAAGAGGAAGAGGGCCAAAACGGACTTCCTGCTGCCCGAGAGGCTGACCAGGGCACAAGAAGGGAGCCATGGGTTCAAGTAACAGAGGAAAAAGATCCGACTAAAAAGATTCGGAAGAGTTTCCGGAGAGGAAGAGCTGCTGCAGTGTGGTCAAGCCTGCCTGGGAGTGTGGTGGAGTCTCCTTCTCTTGAGGCTTCCCCCCAGAGGCTGTCTATCTATCTATCTATCTATCTATCTATCTATCTATCTATCTATCTATCTATCTATCTATCAGGAGTGCTTTGATTGTGCCTTCCTGCAATAAAGGGGGTTGGACTGGATGGCCCTTGGGGGTCCCTCCCAGCTCTAGGATTCTGTATCAGAAATACGCAAGACGGGGTCTCGTGGAGACCCTTCTTCTCTCCCGTCCACCATCTCCTCCTGACCAAGGCTGACCCTTTTGGGATCCGAAATAGAAGAGGAAGAGGAGGAAAAGGCGGGGAGGGGTCTTGGGGAGAAGCCCCTCCCTCCCAGCCCACCCACCCACCAACCCACCCTATGCTGCCTTTGGGGGAGAACAGCGGTATATAAATACAGTAAACAATCAATCCATGTGGCACCCCTTCTGCACGGTTCTCCCCCCCCTCCCCCTCCCCAAGGGGTCCCACAGCCCAACTTCCCCAGTGCCCCCTCCCCATTTGGCCAGGGAAGAGGGCAGCAGGCCAGATGCAAAGGGAGGAGCGGCAGGAGGAGGGGGGGCAATTATATTTTATGACACCCGGAACCCAAGGCTCTCTCTCCTGCCGCACAGCCGCCTCCACCCACCCAAAGGGGCCGGCCTGCTCCGGGTGAGGCGCCCGCCTCGCCCCGTCTGTGCAGAGGGAGTGGGCACCACACCCGGACCCCCAAAGACCCCTTTCTCCTGCTCCAACCCAATGGAGGGGACGTCAATGAGACCCCCATGGCCGCTCCCCCATTTGCACCAGACCCTCTTTCTCTGCACGAGCCTCCACCTTTGTTTTTATTTCCCCATGAGAAAACTGCAAGTCGCTTCTGGTGTGAGAGAACTGGCTGTCTGCAAGGACGTTGCCCAAGGGACACCTCAAGGGTGTTTGATGCTTTACCATCCTTGTGAGAGGTATTCTCTCATGCCCTCACATGTGAAGCTGGAGCTGACAGATGGGAGCTCAACCCACTCTCCCTGGATTTGAACCGCTGACCTCTTGGTCAGCAATCTTGTCGGCACAAGGGTTGCACGACTGGGGGCACCTAGCCTCCTAGTGAGGCTTCTTTCATGTCCTCGCATAGGGAGCTGGAGCTGACAGGTGGGAGCTCATCCCTCACCCTGCACGGTGGCGGTGCGCCACGATGCTCTGCAGGGCGCAGGCTCCTTGCACCTGAGCAAACAGCGCGGGAGGAGTGCCTTGTAAAGTTCTGACTGCGGAAGGGAGCGCCCTGCGTTTACGTTCTGAATGGCGAGGGCAGTAAAAGCAGGCCTGATAAGGCCGCAATGCAGACCATCCTCTCCTCTTGCACATTTTGCACATTTTACAAGGTCTAGAGCAGGTGTTTGCAAACTTGGGCCGTGCAGGTGTTTTGGACTCCAACTCCCAGCATTCCTCTCAGCCTCAGGCCCTTTCCTTTCCCCCTCAGCCGCTTAAGCAGGAAAGGGCCTGAGGCTGCGAGGAATGCTGGGAGTTGGAGTCCAAAACACCTGCACGGCCCAAGTTTGCAAATATCAATACCTGCTCTAGACTTTGTTTGTTAGGTCACCTTTGTGATGGGTTCCTAGAGTCAACAAATACAATCCTAGAGCCAGAAGAGACCCCAAGGGACACCACCAAAGCCCTCCCGACAGATGGCCATCCAGCCCCTGCATCCAAACCCTGGGACAACGGCTCCCTGGTCATCCTCTCCTCGGGTGCCAGGACCCGGGAGGCGCACCCAGCGCAGCTAAAAATAGGTCCCTCCCTTCCCCTCCGCCAAGTGAGTAAGAGGATCCTGTGGGTGAATCACCACTGACCGACGGACGGAAGAAGTGTGCAAGGGAAGCAGGCACCAGGCCCAAGCCCTCCCCCAAATAATCCAGATTGCCGTTGCTCCGTGTGCCTTGGAAAGCCACTCTGTGCATGCTCAGAGGGCCCTTTGCATTCTCCCCAAATAATCCAGATTGCTGCTATTCCGGGTGTCGTAGAAAGCCGCTCTGTGCATGCTCAGAGGGCCCTTTGCATTCTCCCCAAATAATCCAGATTGCTGCTATTCCGGGTGTCGTAGAAAGCCGCTCTGTGCATGCTCAGAGGGCCCTTTGCATTCTCCCCAAATAATCCAGATTGCTGCTATTCCGGGTGTCGTAGAAAGCCACTCTGTGCATGCTCAGAGGGCCCTTCCCTGGCCTAGCAGTAGCCAGACACAAATACGTTCCAAGGGCAGTTTGCATGCCTCCCCTTTGCACCACAGGCACTTTCTCCAAATAATCCACATTGCTGCTGCTCCGTGTGCTGTGGAAAGCCACTCTGTGCATGCACAGAGGGCCCTTCCCTGCTTAAGTGGCAGCCAGACACACATAGGTGTCAAAGGCGGTTTGCATGCCTCCCCTTTGCATTCTCCCCTAATAATCCAGATCCCTGCTGCTGTGTGTGCCATGGAAAGCCACTCTGTGCATGCTCAGACAGCCCTTCCCTGCCCAAGCTGCTCTGTGCATGCTCAGAGGCCCTTTCCCTGTCCAAGTGGCAGCCAGGCACACATAGGTGTCAAAAGTGTTTTGCATTCTGCCCTAATAATCCAGATGGCTGCTGCTGCTGCTCCGTATGCCTTGGAAAGCCGCTCTGTGCATGCTCAGAGGGACCTTCCCTGGTCTAGCAGCAGCAGCCAGACACAAACAAGTTCCAAGGGTAGTTTGCATGCCTCCCCTTTGCATCACAGGCACTTTCTCCAAATAATCCACATTGCTGCTGCTACGTGTGCCGTGGAAAACTGCTCCGTGTATGCTCAGAGAGCCCTTCCCTGCCC